TCCATCCTATTGCTGGGCCTCCTGTCCCTCCACGACAAAGCACTTCTCAACTTATCCCCAAACTTCCTCCAAAAACTTATAAGAGGGAGCACACACACCCATCTATGCACAGAGATGGACCACCACTATTGGAGAATGCCCATTCTTCCTGACTTCCTCTGTACTGGGGTGTACCGCTTCCTAGCCCCAAATCCATTGCTGGCAATGGATGCACTGAACATGCCAGCACTGCGGAGTTCAAATGAGAACTCCAAACACTAATGACGCTACTTCAAGATGTAGTATAAGACAATGAATTTTAACCTACACGTAATTACAAAATAAGATGGTATTCCAGCTAGGATGTGGAGACTGATCTAGAGGGATTGGACAACTGATTGCACCTGGAAATCACGTGAAGGGACTTTTCTGGCCAATAGGCAAGAGTCCTCATTTTGTGAAGTAATCTTTATCATTAAAGGGATGGAAAACAGTCTAATGTCCAACAGGCCCATATGTTGACAGTTTTTGTAATTCAAAATATTATGCACTTTTAAAAAATCTTAAACAGGGATCTTCTCCTCCTTTGTTTCCTTTGCTTTACTCTTCTACTTTAGAATATTTTCGTAAAAATTCTTCAGAGGACTGTGAGAAAAGGCTGTGGTACCTGGCCTTGTTGAAATCAAGGCCCAGCACTGTACTGCAGTCCTGTTTACAGATTATTACAGTGAATTGAATGGGTACCGAGGCTTCACCAAAGAGGTACTTTTTGTTATTGTTATTGTTTTAAGAATAATTATACCAATTTTAAGAACATTCCCTACCTACCCCCACTCACAAACAAAATGTGGTGGTGTTGCCTTCAAACAAGAAATTTCGTGTCATTAACAGAAGAAGAACTTTTTAAAAATGTAACTGTCAAGTATCCTATTTACACTTAGGAGACTGTTAATCTATGCTAGACTGTCACCCCCTCCCCCTGCCCCAGGGGTTTACTGGTAACATATGTCCTGGCTCGTGGCTGTCCCTCTAAGCATACTACAGAAATGCAGGCACCCAATGTGAAAAGGAGCACTCTGGGCCTCACTGACACCATTCATGTTTTACTAATAGTGAGTAAGTCAGCATACTTAGAATTACCTTGCATTGCCTAAATCATGTGTATATAGTGAATGTTATATAATATACCTGACAGGTCTGTTTTTATTTAATTGAATAAAGATAAACTACTTTGTTTGGCTGGCATATATTAAATTATTATATGGATAAAATGGTTGATTCTTATTTCTTTCAGTTGAAAAATATACAAACACTAAGCATAAAAGCACATGTGGTACGTCTGGGTGTCTAGTTCTTACAGAGTACTCTAAAGTCGGAGTTTGGCATATGGGAAATACTGGCTTATAATGGAATGGGCATCTTTTAAACAGAACCTTGCAGGTTTTTTAATTTCTTGAGCAACCATACATGTTGGTTAACATTTATATTCTACTTTGCTTAAGGTCTTTGGTTCTCTCAAAGCTACTCCTTAGAGACTATCTACCTGTCCATAATATTATGTGATTATTCATGAAGCCTTGTACTGCTCTTCTGAGTCTAAGAAATACTGTGACTGAAATGCATGCAACTTGAATAGGAGCAGTTTCATTAGTCTCCACTGTGTCTGTGAACTGTGTACTACTCCATTCCTAGACAGTCGCCAGTTCATCAGTGTGTGCATGTGTCCTCATAACAATAAAGCAGCATTTCAGTAATCCTGTTAACTGGGCTGCAGCACGGTGGAAGTGTAGTACATTAATAATTTTGATATTTATTAGAGCATTAAATGTACATCCTAATAGTACAGTGTATAGTCTTCTAAGATCAGAAAGGACATTAATTACATCATCATTAAGCAGTCCATCCTATCATGTCCTTGTTTATTTGTTAGAGTTGAATCTTTTTCACTTCGTGTCTGTACTATTCCTATTATGGTAGCCATTTCTCTTTGCAAAATGTCTCCTCTTTTAAAAATGTCCTCAAAAGTTAATTTCAAATCCCATCTTGGATGCAAAGTGTCTATAAGACCATTTATTCAACAAAAGTCACTAGCTAGGCCTACTTACTAATGTGTTCCATACAATTGTGATGATACCCCAAATTCCCATGGCTTACTGATCACTTTTTGATCATCCCATCCCTACTTCAAATGAGAACCTAAGAAAAGCAACATTAGAATATTCAGTATCTCTCTGGCCAAGTGTTGCCTTCACCAGGGTGATAACCCTTTTGGTTCTGCTTGAGCCAACAAGGGAGGGAATGCCCAGATTTGGAGGTAATTTCTCCCAAAGGGAACTCTTCTCCACCCACCTGTTCAGTAGACCGCTTCACCATCCAGCCATTTGTATGCATCACCGAAGGAGGGTATTTTTATTCTTAAATATGATATTTGGGCAAAAATATTTTCTGTAGTAACTGATTTTAAAAGTTCTAATTGGATGCCCTGGGGTGAAAGTGAGAAAGCTGTGTCCTTGAGTTAAACATTATCTGGCTAACAAACTTATCCTTAGTCATAATTAAAATGTACTTCTTCAGGGCAAGAAGTGGCAGAAGACAAATGCACCATTACAGAACTACATCTAAACCCAGGACATTATGAGGCAGCCAGTGCAGCGAAACTTGCTTAACTACATCCCCAAATATGGGACATTTCTTCCAAAAAATGAAGTATCAGCAAATGTTTTCTTATCATTGGACCACGCAGTAAAGTCTTGATGGGCTCATAACCGGTAACAGAAATGCTTTTCACAGCTAAGCACTTGGAAAACAGGAATAGACAAGTGTATGTTTCTAAATTTATTAAAAGACGGGCTGTTTACTCTTTCTAGTCTTTCAAATGTGAAGATGAAAATGACAAATATTCTAAGTCTACCTAATTAAAATTTCTTGCTTAAATAAAGGCTGTTGGGCATCAAATCGTGAGTTTAGTGGGTTACTATCCTCTGACTCAAGAATATTTTAGTGGATCTGAGCTGAGCCAAGAGTGTGCAATATAAACATAATCAGCAGGACATCCTACTAAAGTACTATTTAAGTTGGAGGCTGTACTATGATTCCAAATTCTTCCTTAATGCAAACCCAGAGTGGTATTTATCATAATGATCATGTCATTAAGTTTTGCTCACATGTCATTTCATTATCTTAATATAATGGCCTGAATTAGGGGTATATAGTGGCTCAGGAAGATAAGTGGGGATGCTGTCCCAGCTAGAGAACACACCGAAGAGAACCTTTCTTATCCTCTTCAGATTCAAAACCAAGGCAACCAAGTATGTCTTGGTATTCTGCTGCTGGGTAGGTGTGCATGCTCTTTCCATCTCTATCGTGTGACTGTGCCGTGCAGGTTCTGTGTACTGCACATTAATTTTTACACATCACAAGGTGACTGTCAGTTTGGCTGAAAGAGAACTATGCAGAAAAATGTGAGGAAAGTGATGCCTTTATTCAATTTTTCCCCTTTGGAACAGTACTAGCTTAAAATTATTTCATAGTCCTTTTCACATGAGCCAGTGAAGTATTCTGTGTTCTAGTTAAGAAAAAAAGCATGAACTCTACATGATAAATCTAAACAAAAGCAGTTTTAAGTTCTTTTATAAGTTTCATGCCTTATTTTCCATTTTTGACACCATAAAGTGCATTTTCTGTCAACTGTGAGCAAACTTCCCTTTTGCCTTTAATAAAAATAGTGCATTAAGTAGCCAGTCGCTGAAAAATTATAAAACAAGCAAGCTAAATGTGGGCAACATTGGACTACCAAACCCAGATACTCAAAAGATGCAAGTTATATGTGGTGTGGCTTAGAGTGCACCCATGCCAGATGCATGCCACTTTCAGTAGCTGCCAACTGTGCCTTTAATTAAAAACATCTCTCTTTTTTTTTTTTCAGATCAAGTCAGCATTTGGGGGTGGGATAAGGGCAGGGGACTTGGGGGTGCAAATATCTGGTGAAACCAGAGAGTTTGTTTGTCAAAGTGACATGTATAATTTTAGTTGAGATGTGTCTGTGTATATATGTGTATTTGCCTTTGTTTAGTAGCATGGTTATTTGCTAAAGTAATTGTCAAAAATGCTCTGTCAGTCTTACTCTGATGTAAGAACAAAGTGTGGTCTATACATCCAATGGCCTTTGTACCTAACCAATGTTTGTAGGTGATCTTTGTATTCTATGTGCAGCAGCAGTATTTGGTTTGTGTTAAAAGTGAAAATAATGGCTGTTATTTTTCTGGCATTACTAAGATAAATTGAAAAATAATAAAGAAAAATGCCTTACATAGCCCACAGTGTATTGTTTTTGCATGCATTTACTTTAGAGGGAAGTATTCTGAAGTTGTTAGTGATTCTAATTTAGCTTATATACCTTCACATAGAAATACTTTACATTCTATCATGGTCTTCCTCTGGGAACACTATTTCCTCTAACAAGTTAAAAAAGATACAGTAAGTTTAGTGTCAGTAACAAGGAGGCTTGAAATAGAAATTAGTCAAGTGACTATACACAAGATTAAGTTTCAGAAAGCAATTGTATTTTTAAAAGAACATACTTGGGTGTTTCAGGTCCCTACCAGGCAGCTCTTGCTGTGACCAGCTGGTGTTAGGAAGATCAACAGTGCAAATATAGAGTCACTCAAGGTATAATATAAAACAAAAATATTAAAAGATAATTAGATTCAGCTCATTTATTTTGAAATAAAGGCAAGCCACAGCTGGTGGTGCCGGTCTTTGATCCCAGTCAAGAGACTGAGTCAAGATGATTAAAAGGTATACCTGGGCTACAGGTGTATCTTGAGTTCAAGGCCATACTAGCACCTGTCTCAGAATAAAAAAAGGAGGTGGGGTGTAGCTCAGTGGTAGAGGCTTGCCTAGCATGTGTGAAGCCCCAGTTTCATCCACAAAGAGAGAGGGGAAAGAGAAAGAATAGATGATAGATAGATAGATGATAGATAGATAGATAGATAGATAGATAGATAGATAGATAATAGATAGGTAGATGACAGAAGATAGATGACAGATATAGATGATAGATGGCAGATAGATGATAGATAGATAGATAGATAGATAGATAGATAGATAGATAGATAGATAGATAGATAATTAGATAAATAAGGCAAAGTGTCAAATTTGTGACTGAGACTAAGAATCAGTGTTCCTAGTATTTGTAGGAATGCCTTCAGGGAAGCCTAAAATGGTGATTCCAGCATGCATTATTGAATGTATTCTACGTAACAGTTTACTATCTAAGTAATACTGACACTGAAATTAATCAGATTTTAATTTTGCTCTCCAAATGTTAATTCTGATCTTTAATCAAGAGATTTTCCTTTGTACTTCATCATCAAAAGTCAATGCTAGTCATTACAGAGGAGGGCACTTAGATCTCAAAAACAGAACCGAGAAGGCCAGCTCCCCAGCCAGGCCTGCTTTATTTGCACCTTTGACAGAATATAATTTTAGAAAAGCAGTTTGTGGCCATGCTAACCTTTTAGGACCTTTGATAATTACTGGTGGCAAGGAAAACTATCAACTGTTTAGTAACTGTACCTTAGTAACGTCAGGACCGATGGGTGCCGTGGGCAGGCCTGTTTACCCTGCTTCCACTGCTGAGCACACAAACGCACGACTCATCAACACAAAGCTTGTATGAACTTGAAAGGTGATGTGGCTACAATGCAGTGCCTTTCAGAACAAAGCACTAAAATATGAAAAATAAAGTATAAAGGGCATGTTTGCAGTCTGCCTGTTTTAGAGAATTCCTAGGAGGTTAGCTATCCTGACATCCTATGATTTGATTCATTATGGCTTCCTGTGCTGTTTGCCATTATTCAGATTGGTTTTCAATGACCTAAAATTATAAGCATTTGGTAAGAGCTCATTTGACTATTTAGGCATAAACAAATATAGATCTTTTTACAGAACTGGTGTTAGAAACATAGTAATGAAGAAAAATCCATTTCATGGGATTTATAAGCTAGTGAGAGGATGTAGACAATATGTGATAAGCAGAATATTAAACATTAAAAATGTAGCTGCTATGAAGAAAAGAAGGGTCCGGAAGTGTGAAATTTAAATGTGATGATCAGTCAGCCATGCAGACATAGGAACTTAAAAGAGGTGAAAGAATGAGACATCCAAGTAACTAAAAGAAGAGCTGGTTTGAGAGTCCGGAGGCAGGGGCATGCTTGGTATACAGAATAGAGGGAGCTGGTGTGGACAGAGATATGAATATGTGATAGACTAGAAGGAGGTGCCATCGGGAGTTTGATCATTCTACATCCCGAGAGCCCTCAGAGGTCCGAACAGAACTACGTCAGGGTTTTCTCTTTGTGAATATGACACCACCTACTGCATCTACAATGGCTGCCGTGCTCAGTGCAGCCCACATGAAGAGAAGGGTTCTTTGTTTTTGTTCCCCCTGTTCCCTTCACTGATTTTCCCATAACCACAGAACAAGCTAGAGGGCAATGTATCTTATAAGTTGTGAAGATTCTGAATCATAGTTGAAGGACAAATTTTCTGGAGCACTGGTCTGTACAAGTAAAATACAGTTCTGTCAATCCTTTGACTTAAAGGATGTGATATTTTGCTTTGAGGTTTGGAAAGATATGAAGGATCTTTCCAACTGGACCCTCACACAGGGTATGTTTAAGCACAGTGGATGAATTCATAAGCTATGAATTAAAATTCCTAGGAAGTCACTTAGGTGGCAGAGGCAGGTGGGTCTCTATGAGTTCAAGGCCAGCCTGGTCTAACTGAGTGAGTTCCAGTCAGGCGTACACAGAGAAACTCTGTCTCAAAAAACCAATAATAATAATAAATAAAATTCCTAGGAAGCACAAAATTCACATCCATGCTAAAAATGAACATGCTTATTATTATTCTTGGGGAATGAGTTCAAGGTGCAAGCTTTTGTTCTCACAAACATTTATTTTCCTCCAGATTTACTGGTTTTCTGTAATGATGGGAAAAGTCTTCGTTTCCCCTTTCCAAGGGTTGAGAGGTTCATTAAGCCAAGTCTTAACCATAGACTAATCTTCATCTCTTCAGAATCTTGTATATTGATTTAGTTTCATATGTAAATATTTATATTAGTTTTCCTCAGGGATTTATACATTGATATATATATATATATATTCCTGCAGAGATATATACAAGCTTTTACCCTCCTCTTACCACTTGACAATACAACTGTAAATGTGTTTACACAGCTGTTCCTTGGTCAAGGTCATTTGCAAGAGCAAGTCGGTTTCTGAAGAAGTCTTGTTTGGTGGGTGAAGGATCCAGTGAGGGGCTCTCATTAGTTTTTTCCCTGTATTCTGATCCACTGGACCTAAAATCTCAGCACACAGATAAAGTACAGGTTGATTTGGTTTTAATTGTTTTCAAATATTTTATCTATCCAAATTGTTTTGCATTTGTAAAACAGTTGCCTCCTAGACCTGGAATCATTTTTACTTCCCCTGAGTTTCAAAACTTAAGATATGTGAATCTAAATTTGCAGTGAACATACAGAATCTCTAATGCTTCATGGGGACAACTGTGACAACTGTATATGTCAGTGTACCATGTGAAAGCATTGTAACAGGAATAAAAACTCAAAAATACCTATTTTTGATTCAATAAAATAACTACTCCGCAGATTACCATGGACCTTACATTAAAATAGTTATCAAGGGCCCTGGCTTAATCTAGGCATCACATTACAAACTCTTGCTTCTGTTTGTTTTCATTTTTAAAGGAAAGATTTATTGAAACCAGCCACACATATTGCTACATTTGGTAGATGCAGAAATCAGTACAGTGATCTCAACCACCACAAAGGAGCCCAAGACTAATCAAAAGTCAACTCCAGTCCATTTGAGTCCCCAGTCCAGGGTGCATTCTTCCTTTCTCTTGGTTAAACCAGTTGGGCAATCCATTCCAGTTCTGTACCTTCTCCAGTCTGTTCATGTCAGAAGTCCCTAGAGGGAGGAGGCTCTCTAGAAATACCTCTCACACAACTAGCCCAGGGCCCTCTCACTGACTTTAACCTGGAGCTAGAATGTATAAAATTAGCCCGCTAACCAAGACCCAGTGCCACAAGTCCTTGTGTGGGATGTATGAAAGCGAAGCTCCAAAGCTCCTGTTTAAGTAAACAGTTTCTCCGCACGCTGCATCAGGCATGCTTTCCCTAAACACCAAAGCAGGATAACTGGCCTCCACGCTCCTTCACTGACATTGGTACACTATCTTTGAGTCCTTGTTTGTTCAGGAGATTTTCTTGTTATTTTTGGGGGGAAGGGTTGCTTTATTTTGTTCTGTTATGGTGGTACTAGGGACTGGCCCCAGGATCTTCATATGGAAGTGTTCTACTGCTATATATCCTCAGTCCAAGTCCTTGCTATTAATAATTATTCTTATTAGTTATGAGTCTAAATTTACTGAGCTTATTGGGAAGAATTCAAACATCCTTTTCTACTATTCAAGTGAAAACACTAGACCTATAGGAAGACTAAAGATGTCTGGAAACATGATGAATGGACTAGATATTTTTAGTTCTCAGTTTGATATCAGAAAAGAAGCTGTAGCTACCCATTATGCTTTACTTCTGATTGGAAAGGAGTACTTTCCCACTGTCCCAGTGAACGTAGGAAAATTACTCTCCCTCAGCTCCTGTGCATCTGGATACTCAGGCGATAAGAAGGTATCTGGGTGGAAGGAACTTTTCTTCTCAGGGACCAGCCTACACTCCCTGTAAACAAACTCCCATCCTCCCTAAAACTTCAGGCTTGCTTTTAGTTCTCAGAACTCCTGCCTCCTTCAGCTCAAACCATCCCTGGTTAGTGTAGCTGTGCCTCAAATGTTAGTAAGATGCATCCTAGCTATTCATTCTCTCCCTATGTTCCATGATCTGGAAGGCTGAAAGCCCTTGTGTTTTAGGGCAGGAAGCAGGAGTTCAATGGCAGCAGCCTCTTCTCAATTGTTCTCCCCCATGCCAACTTCTCGATGAAGTTATTAATCTACACCTGAGACTTTACCTCACATTTTCCCTCTTACCTACATCTGATCTCTCCAAAACCCAACACGTCACACTTGGAGGTTCCCACATGCAACTGGAGTTTACCTGGAAATGGGAAAGCTTTGATGTCACCACCAGCCCCAAGGACCACAGAAATCTTCACCAGTTGCGTTCCCATTTCTGAAACAAATGCCAAAATCGCCCTGTCTAGTTTCCACAAACTCAGCTCAAATTTTTTTAACTGCTCTTCTTACAGACTGTACCTCCCCCTTGTTTTCAATACAAATGTCTGCATTCCTAAAAATTAACTACTAAGTAACTAGTGGCTAACTTACTAATTGTTTTAAAAATCCAGAATTCCACTATAGCAATGATTCGAAGTTCATTTTCACCTTTTTAAAGACAATTTCAGCTGACTTCTATAATGCTCAACATACTACAGGTTACCTGGACTCTCCCAAGGTGTGGGTGTAAATAAGAAGGGGGAAAATGTGCAGACTCTAGGAGAAAGAGATAGTGTGTTTTCTTTTTATTCCCTTTTTTTGTAAAGCACAGAAATGGCTCTTGAACACCCTACACCATCTTGGCAAGCTGCAGGGCATATCTGAACAGACCTTAGAGGGGATAGTCAGGAACTCTTTGTGGAAAATGCAATGGCTGTCAATATATTCTGACTCACAGTCATCAAATCATTTGACAGAAAGGGGAAACAAAAGACTTGTTGCTAACCATCCTTCAAATGTCAGAGAAAAAGAAAAATGCAAGTGCAACTTGGCTACAGATAAACCTGAAAAACTGGAGTTGAGGAAGGGAGGTAAAATCCAGCGCCACAGATATCTCTGATGTCCAGAGCTGGTTCTCTGATGTGAAAGACTATCCTTGAAAGGGTGAGGGCATTCCCATGAAGAGGGTCGGGGGTGAGGGGGAGGGGACACCTGTCTTATCCATCAAATCAGTTAACCATGCATTCACAGGGTGGTGAATGAGCACTCGTTTTATGTGCTATATACTATAACTTGAAGCTGGGTTACCCTTACTTTGAACCACAAGCTCCAAATGGGCAGGAGCTATTTCTTCTACAACCCGACACTCTGAAGACACTTAAAAGTAACTGACGACCTACTGAAAAGCAATCCCAGCCAGAGTTAGGTAACCTAAACTACTTATCCTTTCAAGCACATCCTCTTGAATTTGCAAATGGCATAGGAGATCAAATGAGATATGGTGGAACTACAAAGAGGACAAGAGGGTGGTGGGGATGGGGCAGGTTTGAAGGAGGTGGAGAAAATGACCACTGGTCCTTAGAGCCCTGCCTTCTGCTATATGGGCTGTCCCACAAAGGAGGCATATACAAAACCTTTTGAGAAGACACCAAACAAAGAGGACTCACTGACATTGAAATATATGGGCCCTGCAGAAGTATTGCTGACCATGTGATGAAGAAAATAGATTTTGTTGCAATTGGTGGAGGGGGTAGGATGGCTGGAATAGAAATAATCATATAAATTATGAAGTACTAACAGGAAGAGGTAGGGTAAAGAAACCAGTTAAGATGGTATACTCTATCTTTCACTACCCACAAAGTTGATGCTAAAGGGTGGAAGCACCGTCTACAGACCTCGCCCTAAAACTGTCTTATAGGATCTCTTCCCCGCTGCTATACTCCAATCAAGAATACTCACTCACCCGAGTATAAGTTGTGTACATAAAGATGAAAGAGCATCTGCCTCAGCTCTAACAACAGTCTGGGTTTAAGTCTCTGACAGTGTCCGTGTGTATCCTCCTAGAAGGGACAGCTTATCTTTCATCTTCCTCAATCAAGCACTGGCCTTTCTTAGCAGGTCTGTTCCCTAGCCTCTAAGAACCACATTTAAAATGTATAGTCATTTAACATGCTCAGACTTTAAGCTAGCAGTCATTATTCTGGCCAATTCTGCACAGCTCTCAGGGATCTACGACCTGGTATCTACCCAGGGCAAATGTGCCTGAGACGGAAACAATAAAAGGGTTACCCTTTTCCTCAAATATCGTGGGCACTTTGTCAGAATATTTTTTATGATGTCAACTTGACTCTGCCTTTTGAATCCTTCGGCCCTCCCAGCCTCAGAGGGAAGAGAACCCTTTCTCGGGTTTTCTGTTGCATCTGGTTCCATGCCTAGCTTCATCCCGAAGCAGCATTCTGGGTGTGTGGGGCCACCAGCCAAACAAGCCCCTATGGAACAAAAAGTGTGTCAGTGTAGACAGGACTGAACCTCCAGAGGGCTAGAGGGGAGGAAGGAAGGAAGCTCCAAACAGACACGGGTGGCTTTCTTGGGCCTGCCCATTTGGACCTGGGAGACCAGGCTCTGGAGTATCCAATACCCAGGTTTAGCTACTTAAGGTCACTGGGCTTGCTGCCAACTGACTTCTTGACACACATAATGGCTTGACTTTTTTTCTACCTGTACCTCATCTTTTACAATAACCTACGTTTAAGTCTTTAACAACCTCCATATAGGTTTTTCTAGATGGAATAGTTTATCTTTCATCCTACACATTCCTGAGTCCAGAGTGCAAGTTCCTATACAATGGATGGGACCGGACCATATTATTCATAATCCTTTATGCATGCCTAGAATTCTGCACACATACAAGAATGGTGTATTTACATTTGAGTTAAAGGTACAGGCACTTCCATGCTACCCTGGGGCCTCCCTGCCCTTTCTCTCTGTAATACCATATAGGAGTGTGATCCTTAATAGACTTTCCATGGTCTTTAGATGAAAAACCCGTAAGAAGTTACTTAAGTTGCTTCTTTAACCCTTGCCAAGTCCCCAAAGCACTCCCTAAGTACAAAGCTGTAATGGGAACCGCCTGCATGGTGTTGACTGTCCTAGACCAGGCTTCCAAGCCAGGAAGGCCTGCTAGAGAAAGAATCATCTAAGTGCTCCACCTTCACCTCCACTCAGAAAATACTTCACATTTTAAATACAAAGGACAGTGCCATTATTGTTGACAGTAATATGTCAGATGCAGGCCAGTCCAGGGGAGAGCTAAGAGAACTCACTGGCCTTTTCTCTAAGAAAAATGCCAAAAGTTGCAGGAGGACCGAAGGCAATTAACCAGTGTAACTCTGGAGAGCCCACAGCAACTTGTCTGCATTATACCACAGTCTGGGGGGCAGGGAGCTATAAAAAGATTATATGGCCTTCTCTTTTGGGAACTTTTAAAATTACAGGCCCAACACCATATTCATCTAGTTTGGGGTGACAAAAATAAGTGACCATTCAGACTGAGCTCCAATAAGCGAGAGTACAGGTAAAGCAAATACACATACTGAACCACGTGACGACTTCTCAAGCAGTCTCCCACCCAGCGTAGGAATACTTTTCAGAACCCAGGCAGAGTCATCTAGCTCTTATTTCAGAGGACCCACCCTCTCGTGAGTCCACCAGGTCTAGGCAGGTGCATTATTACAGTGTTCCTCCTCCTTGCTTCTGCTAGTTCTGCCCTCTGGATACAAAAGGGCAGATCTGTCCCCTATGCCTCATATAATGATTAGGTCATTTTGTTACATCTCTTTAATAGACAGAAATTTGTAAAGGAACCAAAGGTGGATCTATTGCTGATTGTTTCCCAACAGATACTGCTCAGTACTAGAAATGGTAGTGAGCAAAAACAGTCTTTTCTTTTGGGACTCTTATGACTTAAAAAGTACCCAACAGACTCAAGCAATGTGTCCTGAGGAGTTTGGAGTTCTTCAAAGGATTTGGAGCCTAAATCCCAAGTTTAGACTGGCGAATTGTCTACTTCTTCCCACTCATGTCATTAGCAGTTATAGACCAAGAAAATATAAATCCATAATCCTAGAGAGGGATAAAATAGTTCCTAAACCTCAATCCCTACATAAAGTGACTTGAGGGTCCATCAACAGTCACATATGCATTGGATTGCCTAGCAAAACTGGAAGGAGACTGTAGGGCTGTGGTTAACTGCGGGGAAGGAGACAGACTGTAGGACTGTGGTTAACTGTAGAACCGCTGTTCTTCTTTCCTCTTCCTCCTCCTTCTAGTAACAACAGGCAAGGACCAACAATCAGATACCCACTATCTCAGCATCACCCTCCCATTGGAGAATTAGACAAACCATTTAAAAAAAGAAAGCCAACTGTAGGCTTTCCCCTCTTCCTCTATCACCAAGACCAGTTAAAACTCCATCTTCAAGGAGAAAGTGGTTTCCCAATAAGTCTCCAAAAGCAACAACAATAACTTGGTTTAATTTTTCTAAGAATTAAAATATGGACTTGATATTGAAAACGACTTACAGTGATCTCTAATAAGAGGAAGTAAATAGCAAAGAGATGTCCCTAAGGTAGAGGAAGGAGGAGGCCTGAGGACCACAGAGGTAGAAACAACAGCCATCCAGTCAGGCAAGGGCTGGACTGCTGAACCACGTGCTGGTCAAATATTAAGGGTCATCTCGCTCTTCCTTACATTTATGCTGGAGCCTGGTCCTACCTCCCAAACTGCAACACGGGCTGGCTAAAATGCCTGGGAGGTAACGCTTCATTCAACAGTAAGACTTAGAAAGACCAAGGAAGGAAACATCTTTTGTTTCCCATTTAATATGGACACCCTGAAAGTTTTCACAAGGACCTGAGCCAAATTCATCCATTCAGGCACCAACATGCATTTCTTAGAGCCAGGTTGCTGAGGTCCCTGAGGGCAGAAGTGCTGACACCCTCCTTCATCACTTCCCACACTGAACACCCATCTCCCACAGAGAGGGACCCCTCTCTCACTCCTCTCAGGACACAACTCTGGGGACAAGGAGGAAGAATATTAAAAAGTGGCAGGGGGAGCTGAGTTTGCTTCTGTTCAGAAATTGGGTACAAACATTGAACTTGAAACAGCTATGTGAGACCCGGCTACTTAGTAATTAATACTGGTAAAACCTCAGACTGCTGCCAAAGGGAAATGAGTGACATTACACTGTTTTATCTAAGGGCTACTCACTTCTTTTTAAAGAGCTTGCGGAAGGAGCTGCGAAAGCCCCCTTTCTGGTCTTGCCTGGGATTTTGATCGCTGAAAGAAGTCTGCTCACTCTCTCTCTCTTCCTTGGGACAGAATCGGGTGGCATCCTCTAAGTGCATCTCCTGAAAACACAAAAGAGGCATGTTGTTTTACTCTTTTCCAAAATACATGTGCCCTGGCTGTGGGACAGTCCTTTGGCTTTGCCACCTGCCTCTCCTACTCCCGTGGACTACCTGTGTGCCTAGGGTGATGAGCCGAGCAGTGGGAAGAGGAGCGCTGCTCCGGTGCTCGGGTGTACGCCTTTCTACAGATGAATACAAATCAAGGCAAACAGTCCCTAGCCAAACACAGCCATCAAGATAAGTACATAAAGGGAGCTAGCTAACAACAAAAGGTATAGAACGTACAGCCGACGAGATAGCTCAGCATGCAGAGGCCCTGAGTCCAATCCTGGAGGTCACAAAAAGGTGGAAGGACAAAGTAGACCCCCATAAGTTGCCCTCTGTCCTCATTTGCTTCCTATTGCTGTGATCAGAAAGAAAGGGCTTATTTCATCTCACACTTCCAGATAACAGTCCAACACTGAGGGGAGTCAGGGCAGGAACTCAGGGAGGGCAGCAGCCTAGAGCCAAGAACTGAAGCATAAACCATGCACAAATATTCCTTACTGGCTGACTCTCCATGGTTTGCTAAGACTGATTCAGAACACCTGTCTGGGGCAGCAGCCCCACGCCACAGAGGACTGGGCCCTCCTCCATCACTATTTCTCCATTAGTAATCAGGAAAATGCCCCGCAGACCTGGCTACAGTCATCTCACAGAAGCATTTTCCCAACTGAGGCGTCTCTTCCCAAATGACTCGTTTCTGTATGTTACATGTATGATGGGCGTTTCGCCTGTTTGTATGTCTGTGTACCATGTGTCTGCCACCTATGGAGGCCAAAAGAGGGCATTGGAACTCCCAGAACTGCAGTTACAAACAGTTGTGAGGCACCATGTGAGTGCTGGGAAGGAAGAGCAGCCAATGCTCTTAAGGTCTGAGCCATCTCTCCAGTCCATGTGCACATATATGTAAGTGCATATATAAACACATGATGGGTATGTACATAAACTCACATCCTGCTTGAGTAACCCTAAAGCCAAAGCAGAAAACACAGCAAACAGCACCCTGGAAGTCCAGCTGAATGGCTGACTACAGAGAGCAACAGGCAAGAAGTCTCCCTAGGGAACTTCTAGATCTGTAGATCTGACTTTGAGAACTTCACTTGGGCTTGCAGTAGCTGACCTACAGAGTCTGAAATGCTGCTTAAGATTCTATCTAAACCATGGGGCCCAGCATCCTTGTGGCTTAGTGCAGTGTTCCTCAGAGTATGTTCCTGGCACCCTAGGACCATCTACACTCGCTGTTGCTTACACAGATTCTTAAGCGTGGAGTCTCTGCAGCAAAGTCCCTAGTGTATAAATAATTGTTGTGCATATTTAGATATGAAAATCAGGGGTTTCAGGCAAGCTTCTGTCCAATACACTTACTGTTTATAGCAAATACCTAACTATGAATCCTAAGGAGTAGTTTCTGATTCAGCAGCTCTGGCTACAGATTCTGGATTGATAAAATTTATAAAATATAAGATTAATGCCTCACTATTACCTCTAAGACCACATTTTGGGAGGTGCCTGTGGGGACTAACACAAGGCTATAGTGCTGGCCAAAACACCTGCTCTGAATGATAGAATATTCAGACTTAGAATTTCAGAGACCACAGAAGGCAGGGGCTTGGCTTCGCCTCTTGTCAACTGTGGACCCTCCATTAAAGTAGTCTTTAACTGGGATCCACATCAAATCATCTGTTCAGGGAAACCATAAATTGTTTTAAAAAATCTGTCTGTGGAACCATGGTCTTACTATCATCTTTCATTGGTATAGCATTTCATACTGTACAAAGCGTACTGTCAAACTACCTTGTTTGGTCTGATCTTCACAACCCTGTGAGGTAATCTACTTCTTAGAAATTACGATCACATTTATCATTCAGGAGGGAGGATGGGTTCACATGTCAGAGCACACGCGGAGGGCAGAGGACAACATGCAGGAACCAGCTCTCCTTCCACCAGAGAGGGTTCACATGGGTTCACATGTCAGAGCACACGCGGAGGGCAGAGGACAACATGCAGGAACCAGCTCTCCTTCCACCAGAGGCTCGAGGCTGGAATGCAACTTCTCAGGCATGGAGACAAGAGCCTCTCCCTACTGAGCCATCTCACTAGCCGAAATTTTAGTGGTTTTTGTTTGCCTGTGCGTGAGTTCAGGCGCAGTGGTACCAGGGAGCCTTTGTGGAAGCCAGAGGCAACTCCGGACTCGGGAGTTGGTGCCCCCTGCCATCTGTGGGTCTGGCCCAGAGACAGGCCTTCAAGTTAGCAGCGCTACCTGCTGAGCCATCCTGTGTCTTACTTATTATACAAATTTATTTCGTGATTTATCTTGTTGTTCTGGCATGAATGTCGGCACCATGCCTGAGGAGATAAGAAGGGGGTGTTAGATCTCCAGGAACTGGAGTTAACGACTGGTGTGAGCTGGGAAGTGAACCTGTGTCTCTTCACTGCTAAGCCATCTCTCCAGCTCCCTAATCACCTTATTCTCATAGACAAGGAAACTGGAGGCAAAGGGAAGCCATGTGATTTGTCTAAAGCAGGCAACTATTTGATAATGGAGCCTGGGTTAGAACCTAGAGTTAGTACCTACTGCCCAGTCAGGCGCTCTGCACTAAAGCACATTGCCTTCTTTCTTGGCTCTCAGTAAAGACACCAAAACTGGAGTTGAGCCCTCTGGCCACAGGTGGGGTGGAGTAGACTGAAGCCGAGTGGTTCTGCTAACCCCAGCAGCGGAAAACTGATCCCTTTAGGAATATAGTTCTACAGGGTTATCTTGTACAGCTCTAGTTCCAATCCTATCCCCACATTAAATACAGATACACACACACACAAACATGCATGTGTTGCATACACATGCATAAACATGTATATCCATACACAGCCCCTTCTCACTTGAACTCTGCAGGGTTTTTCCTTGGTGTCTCTTGACCTGATTCGTGTTTTCCCATGTTAGGGGATGCTAGTATATTGTTATTGCTATGAGGTCCGTCTGGTAAACAGCCACAAATATATTACTTATTGTTTGCTTCTCAGGTATAATATTTGTTATTTCTAATGGTTTTTTCCCCAGCAATTGTTCCATTTTTTCAAATATTTCACATGTGACTTAGGGCAAAAAAATTCATGTTTATGAACATGTAAAATAAAAGCATTCTTTATAGCAACAGACTATACTACTTTGAAGATTCTGGTGTAAGCTTCTGCCCATTCCAGTTTAAACTGGTACTATTATTTTCCTTCTAGTTCCTCTTTTAATAAACTGTCAAGACTACCTAGGATTGATCTTTTTCAGAAATTTTACCCAATAAAATTTTTTAAGGTTTCGAGTCCAAGAAATCAGAGCCATAAGAAAAAAAAAAAAATCTCAGACTCCTGAAGAAAGTCAGCGGTTTTGCTAGACTACAGTACTGGGTGCTCTTCCTCTCTGGGGGTTTGATTCCCTGGACCCCAGGAGGGCAGTAAACGCCAGGGCTTGCCATGATCGATTCCCCTCCTGTTTCTGGGCCCTCTTTCCCAATATGCAAAAGGAAAAGCATACCCAGTTCTATGTCCAAGAGTCTTTTTTTTTTTTAGCTTTGCGACCTTGCTCTTCCCCCAAAAAGCTTCCACGAAGTGTTCAAAAATTAATTCAGATATTCAGTGTAGCTAGAATGCATTCTCTAACATCATCACCCCAAGATGTTTTAGATATCCCTCCTATATGTTCATCGTAATTCCGTGTGCTATGTATGCCTGTGGGACATTCCGGACTTTATTTCCGAAGTTTCAGCAATCGAGACACAGAGCCTGCCTGGTACACAGCAGGCTCTGTGTGGGCTGGAAACTTAAATGAGTCTGCAAGCATCAATTTAACCCACTCTCTTGATAACGAGTGAAAGGGTGGAGGCGCAAGTGAGTGCTATCATGTTAATAAGTTTAATCAATTGTTTCTGTCGCATTGATAAACCTGTGAGTCGCCTGCTTCTCGGTGGTTAGGGATGGAAAACACTTTTAAATACCCCCAAGGCCTGGAGACACCAAGGACAGATATCAACATGCCTCAACATTCGCTGAAGCTAAAGGAGCATTTGAGTCAATACAGCTCTTTTCTAAGAAAGCAAGCGAAACTGAATTCTCTTTGCAACAAACTTCGAAGTCGCCACTGAGGCAGGGCAGCACACAGCGCGTGGTAATTTATACATCTGGACCAGAAGATAGACCGAGCAGGCGGTGCGCCCGTCTAGAGGGAGGAAATTGGTTCACTCGTTAATTCATACTCCCTGTGTGCGTCTCTCCCTCCCTCTTGGCGCGTCTGTTAGCACGTCTATGCACCGAGGTCTCGTCTCGCTCTCCCTGCCTTCGTGCTCTTGGCGTGGTAGCCGCCCTGCCACTCGCCTTCGAAGGCCACCACGACCAGAGTCGGTCACCAGGCGCGTGCGGGCTGCCGCCCCCTCCCTCCCCGCCGAGGGAAACGGGGCTGGCCCTAACATCTAGGCCCGGGGCGCCGAGGCGGGCTTCGGCTCGGTTTTACTTTACCCTCCTTACTTCCAAATAGGTCTGCTTTTCGCTTTGGGACCTCTGTTGGGGGAAGAAGGTCCGCGGCGCCCCGCGGGAGGCAGCGGCGGCGGCGGCGGGGCCGTGCGGGGCGGCGGCGCGCTCCACCTTGAGCGGCGCGCGGCCGCCGCTGCTGCTGCGCGTGCTGTAGAGGCGCGGGGCCACGCCCTCGGCGGGCGGCGTGCGCGGGAACTCCTTGAGCGAGCGGCTCAGCGGCTTGGCCTTGCCGTGCGCCTGCGCCTGCGCGGCCTCCAGCTTGTAGGCGCTGCTGCTGCTCGCCGGCGACGTGGCGCTCTTGGGCAGCGGCTGCAGCGCGTGCTCGGGCCGCTCGGCCTCCATGGCGAAGCTGACGGGCCTCAGGAAGCAGATGTCTAGGCTGGACTCCGAGGAGGCGGGCGAGCAGTTGTCGAAGAGCGCCGGCGCCTGGAAGGGCTCCTCGTCGTAAGGCGCGGGCAGCGCGAAGATCTCGCCTCCGTACTCGAACTCCTCGTAGCCGGCGGGCACGAAGCCGCGCGCGTCGGGCAGGAGCTCGGTCGGGCCGCGCAGCGAGCGCTCCACATTGCCCAGCGGCTCGGCCGGGGACGGCTCGAAGTCCATCTCCGGGATGGACTGCAACGGCCCGGCGAGCGCCTTCACGTCCTGCTCGGCCGCGCAGAACTGCGCCGGGGCCAGCAGGCTCTCGGGTCGCTCGTGCTTTCTGCTCTCCATCTCCCAGTCCCCCGGCTTCCCAGGCTGCATGCTCTCCATGAGGCTCTGCTGCTGTTGGCCTTTCTTCGCCGAGGGCATCAAATGTCTTTAAAGGGGGAAACGGTACAAGAGAGACGATCAAACAGTGCTGAGCTCTCTCCAAGCGAGCAACCCCAAGCCAGCTCCTCTCCTCCCCTCCCAAGTGCGGTCGTGGATGACCTATCAAGCTCCACTGACTAACTAGGGAGATCTCTCAAGAATGCCTAGACCCTCCTGGAAGAGTGGAAACAGCGGCCAGGAAAATCATCTGTCTCAACTTCCAAGCTAAGTCACTGAGACATCACATGAGCGACAAAGGCTGACGTTATCATTGGCCTGATGCAAACTCCGATCCTCCCTGCCACCAGGCAACTCCCAAGACATCCCCTTTCAATTTCTCTCCCTTTGCTGTGGCAGAGTCACATACAGAATACTGGAAAGCGAACTTGATACCGCCTCTAGATATTCACACATAAACACTTGTGTTCCCAAATAATCTGTTGAACTCTGGATGGTGATACAGAGGATAAAGTCCTGGTTTTCTCGAGACAGGGAGTAGCCCTGGCTATCCTGGAACTCGGTCTGTAGACCAGGCTGTGCCTCCACCACCTGGCCAAATTTGGGACCTCTTCAAGAGCACTGAACACTTTGTTGTTGCCGTTTTGGTTGGTTGGTTGGTTTGTTTAGGATAAACTCATCTGTGTAAAATTTACATTTCTATAATAAATCTTTAAAAAGTTTCTTGGCAGTCGTCTCAAATGACCACCCACAGAATATTAATACAATGTAAAACTGAATTTGCCCAGTTTCTATAGAGTTTTGTTGTCTGGGAGCACACAGCAAATTACACAGTTTTTAAAAAGTAGGATTTTTGTTGTTTTGCTTATTTAACCAAACAGATATAACTGAACTACTGTAGGCTGACTAAAATTTTTTATTCTATTTATACATATTTTAATTCTTTGTCTGAAATGTATATGGATGCATATGTGAATACTAACACTAATATCTTAAGAGATTGCAAGACATCGATCTTACAATGAAACTTAGGACTCACATTTACAGATATGAAAAAAAGTGAGCTGAGCTGACCTTACACCAATACTCTTATTTTAGAAGATTGATACTTTTATTTTCCCTACACAGAGTGTAATAATGGCCATAGTTTGGCCTGGGTAATTTGTAGGCCTTTCCCCCTCTACTTTTTAATACTGAAGGTAAACATTTCACTGCTTCAAGAGTTGAAGTAATGCACAAAGTGGATCTCTACTTCGCCTGTCGGCGCTTTCCAAATCCACCTCTTAGTGTCTTTCTCTGGGATCCAAACATCAGATCAACTGCTCGGCTGCTGATATGGAAACGATGGGGCAAGGCGGAGCTCTGGAGAACTAATGTGGCCCATGCTGCTAACCTCTACAACTGCCTGGGACTCAAGGGCACCACGGCTGATGTTCCTTAGCAACAGATGCTTACGTGACAGCAGGGGCAGAAGTGGGAGCCGAAGGATAGGGCTGGAGCATCTCTTCTGAGTGGATCCCACTGTCACGAACAGCCTCCGGGCCTGCAGCAGGGGAAGCATCTTGGCCAGCATTGGCACATTGGGAAGCCAGCCCTTTGTACAGCTTTGCCATGGACGACCTGACAGAGCGGAAATACTAAATCTCAGACTGCACAGTGTGAGGCTGGCTCTCTGGACTCAGAGATTATGCTAAGAAAAATAGATTTGCCTCTCAGATGAAGCTTTCTGTGACGGGTTCTATATCCCCGGAGCCCTCCATATGTCAGGTTGCTTACATGATAATTGAAATGAGCTTGGGGATGCAGGATGGTACTGAGACACACCTGTCAGGAAGGCACTGGGTTAGGAGATGCTGTCTTTCTAGTTGGAAACAGAGAAATGATAATGTTCTCAAGATAAGCAGGATGTTTAAGGAAATGTTTGTGGGTTGCTTCTATTCTCCGAGGCCCAGATGCTGCCTGACTTTGTTTCTGCATACTGTGAAATCTATTCAGACACATATACCCCCAACTCTTTTTCCCTCAGTGATCATTAGCACCTAACTTATTCTCCATTGCCGGGCTCTAAAGACTAAGCCCCATGTGGTAGAGGTCTATGACTGTTTCGTTCCTGCGGTATATTCACTGGGCACAACAGTACCTAGCCACAGGTTCAATGAACGTTTATTAAATTGCAATTTTGAACCTGGAAAGTCAAGGGAAGCGACATAATGGGAACAACAGAGCCCAGGTGCTTTTCTTCTAAAGTTACTTTGACCAGGCCAGAGGTGTCTCCCTCCTGTGGCCAGCCTAGCTGTCCCCCCCCCCTCACCTTTCTTGCCACCTCCCTTCGTCCCGTTCCAGACACTCAAGTGACTGGTCTGCACCCTCTTCTCAGAAACCTTCGTCAGGTGCTGCACCGTCACAACCTTACTTTTTGAGCTTTTTCCGTTTCTGAATAAGCAGTTCTTCATTGCACTGAAACAGCAGGGTGTAATGAGAGATAAAGACGCGGAGGCGCTGGACACACACGAGGAGCAGGTAATAGTCGGGGTGTTCCTGCTCTGTGAACTTCAGAACATTCTGGATGGAAGGGAAAAGGGATCGGTGTTGCAAAATCAGGCGGAAGAATTGCTCCATCTCCTCCTCGCCTCAGTTTGAGCTACTGGGCGTTTCAATCAAATCACTCAAACACATGGTCCATCTGTCTGACCAGCAGACAGCTCAGGCTTACTGCTCTGTCCATCACATCAAAAGAATAGAAGTTAGTCTGTTCTGTGTGAGTTGAAGGTGACCTAATATAATTCCATTTTGAAAACTTAGAAAGACCCGATAATTAGATAAATGACGTAATAAAGATATTCTAACAACTACTATCCATAAGCAATACTTAAAGGAGTCAGACCAATGCTGAGAATGATAGCCATCGGGTGAGCTTGTGGGGTGGGTGGGGTGGACAGTGGCCCTTCCTATTACATTGCCTGATGTTATGGTCTGGCTATGGTCTATCTCCCAAAGGTCCAGGTGCTGTAAGCTCAGTCTACAGTGTAATGATTTTTTTGTAAAGATGGTGGGACCTAGTAAAATGTGACTGGATGCTGACCATGTTCATGAAGGTATTAACGCTGGTTTTAAAGAGTAGGTTCTTATGGAAAAAAAAAATAGTTACAGAAAAGTGAGCCTAGGCACCACTCCCTTACTTCTTCTTTCATACTGTGTGACCTGTCATTGTTACCTGTGCTGCCACTGTGTTTACCGTGAGGGGGTCACCAGACATCATCACCACCACCATGCTTTTGGGCCTCCAGAATTGTGAGTCAAAATGAACCTCTTCCCTTTAAAAAATACTCAGCCTCAGGGATTTTGCTACAGTGGCACAGCATGGAACAAAAGCCCTTCTAACATTCAAGGGCTCTATTATGTATTTGTTGACTCCTTCCTATTTCTAGGAGCTAACCAATTTTATCTTCGTTATCACAACCCTGTTAGATAGATACTAAGTAAGGAAATTGAGACACCGAATTCGGTCATCTTCTTTAGCTCATGCATCTAATAAATGATAGAAGAAGGATTTGCAGGAAAAGTAGAGAGTAGCCCTCAGACCTCTTTACCTAGTGCTTGCAAGACTGGGCTTCCGCCCACGGGTTTTGCCTACTAGGTGTGTTATCTTGAACACAGTGCTGGGACTGCTTTGGTCCTCTATGTCCTTATGAAAAATGACAATAATGATAATACCTGTTTCATAAAGCTGTTGAAAGAATCCATAAGATAAATATTGTGAGAAAAGCCATATCCGGGTGAAAAATCTCAATACTGAGTCTGGGCTGCTTCTAGCTGAGGTTAATGACACGCAATTCTGAGATGTTTTCACTGAATTCCTTAAGATCAGTCAACCCTACACCAGAGCACATGGGTATCACAAGGATGGGGGTTACTAATAAATGATTCTTGAACTCAACTCCGTGTCCTCTGCAGGGCTATGGGCTCTCACGGCCCTTCTGGGACATAAGGTATGAGTACTGTATGATAGAACCCTGACCCAAGTCAAGCAGAGGCCATCAGGATAGGAGTATAGGCAGAAATTAAGAGGCCAGAAGTGACATTTAGAGGTTGTACAACCAAAGAGGAGGGGACTGAATAGGAACTTAGATGTTATGAAGAGTGTTCACGAAAGATCTTGGACTCCCAGAAGTGGAGATGGCTGGGAAGTAAAGCTAGAACTTCAAAGACAAGGATCATAAATCAAACATTTCAAGACTTTAGCTCATCCCGCAGACTATGGTATGGTGTGGTGTGGTGGAACCATAACAAGCTAAGCCATATGACGACTGCTTAGAAACACTAATGAGTCCTTGAGCCGTTATAGTATTGCTAATTTGGAAGCTGAAACTCATAGTTCAGTGCAAAAGTCTGCTGGCTTGTGCAGCCGGGCTCACCTGGAGATGAATCAGATATTCCGGGATGCGCTGCACGATGTGAAAGAACAGGGTGTAGATGTCAGATTTGATCTCCTCATCACCCTGAGTGGGAAAAAAAGGGGTCACTCTTCAGGGTCCCCACACTGCGAACAGAACCCCAGAGATCCCTCCCACCAGATAGGAAATGCTTATTTCCAAAGCATCTTCTAACTGGAGAGGCCACACGCTCAGGGTCATGTCCAAAGAGACAACTCTTCTCCAGCAGGGAACATAACATGTACTTCTTTTGAATTGAGGCAAGTTTCCAAGCTGTCCCTTCCTTCCCCGACCCTTCTAAAGTCAGTGCTAGATAGAAGTAGGCACTCAGTAAGCTGTGCTTGAATTAAATGAATGAATGAAGGTTTTCCAGACAGTCTTCTACTAATACTCAGTAAGTGTGAACGAGAGTCTCTCAAAAGTGGAGACAGGAAAGTGATTAGGAATTGGTGAGTAAGCCTAGAAGCAGAAAACACAATGGTCTCCCCTTCTATACGTTCCCTTCTTTTCCTTGCTGCAGACCTTCACTGAATGCTAGCATGAGACAGTTGTTTTGGTTGGGAGGACTCGGGAAGGTGACGCGGAAAGTAAGACATAGGCTTCCGTCTCTTGTGAGCTGCAGCTACTCTAACCTTTACGACTCTGGTGGTCTATTTTCTTGTTGACTTAAAATAACAAAATGAATTTGCCTATCTTTTTTATTTTTAATTTCTTATTCATATATGGGTTTAGGGAGAAGCCTGGTGCTAGGGAAATTCCTAAGAAGCCACAAGGATGACTCCAGCTAAGACTCTTAGCAGTAACAGAGAGGGTACCTGAACTCGCCTTCCCCTGTAATTAGACATGCATACCAAACACCTAATAAATAAACCACTGAAGTGGCCATGCTTAAAGGAATATGATGGAGCCACTTGACAAAGGACAATTTGAGTCCAGAACTGAAACCCGTATTTTCTGAGCCTGAAAACAACACATACAGCACACAGCTGCATGCTGGAGAACTCTGGACTACCTACTTGCTTTGTCTGTAGTTCAGTGTAGTGGATCAGAGGGTCATTAAAGCATTGCAAGGACCAGAGCATGGCTCCGATCCTTTATTGGACACCTTTAACACAGAAGAGGGGCAGCAGTAACACGGCCAAGGCGTTCCTCGGCCTGGAACACAAGCTCACAGGGCACATGCTATATCAAACTGTTGAGCGACCGGCAACATGATACAGAGGATGGGTACACAAAGGGCAGCTGTGCATAGAGTTGACTTACCTCCTTCAGAACCACAACATGAACCAAGGAGATGCACTCGGGTAAATCCCTCAGGTAGGCAACATAATAATCCAAGAAATTATTCTTTAAAACAAACACAAAAATGCAAGGTAAGAACCTAAAAACAGGAATGACAACATTTTTATACTACCATGAACATAAAAAGGAGCAGAATTCAGAGAATATTTTTTATTGATTAAAATTTATTAACTGTGTTCCTTATTTGCTCTTGGAGGTTTTATTTATCTTCTTTATAAAGATTTAGTTTTATTTTATGTGTGTTGAGTGTTTGTCTACATGTATATATGTACTCCATGTCAATACCTGGTGCCCTCAGAAGCCAGAAAGTCTCAAATATCCTGGAATTGGGGTTAGAGATGGTTGTGAGTGACCATCCAGGTTATCATGACCAACCCCAGTCCTCCGTAAGAGCAGCCAGTGCTCTTAACTTCTGAGCCATCTCTCCAGCCCCTTGTTAATCTTTTTTTTTAATTTTGTTTTCTTTGATTGATGTGGGATTCTAAACCCCCAAAATTACTTTGCTCAACAAAAAGCAGGAAGCAGTTTAGAGAGAACTACACCCAATTACCCTAAATGATTGTTTATAAATGTTTTTTTTTACATTTAAAGGGGCATATGAGAGATGAATGCTTTGCATTGGTATGGATATTAGTTTATTGATACAAATTTAAGATCAATTTTGTTATATGTATATTTCTGCTCTCAATTAAGGTATTGTATTTGTGCCAGCTCATTTAAAAATGTAATGTATAATTAAAATACAGGTTAATAATAGTCATATATAATAGTTAAACTTGTAGTCATGCTAGTTAGGTTCTCTATATGTACAGAGATATATTTCAGAATGATAGTAATTCCTCAAACCTTTCAAAGACTAACAGAATATGGCATTTAAAATGTTTAAGAACTTAGGACTTTTCATGACAATGAGACACATCTACTCCTGGCAGCACCAATTACTTCAAGAGGAAGATGGGAGCTCCTTTGGCCAATAGCCTTAAAAATACCAGCCCACTTAGGCATGGTCTCTTATATTATAAATGCAGCTGTAAAGTGTGCTCTCATTGTCTTGCTTCTGGCTCTCATTTCCAGTTGCTAGATTTGGTTCCTGTTGCCTGTTCGTGCAGAGGACTGTGATCTGTGAGTCTACCCCTAAATAAATAACCCTTTATTATATGTGATTCTGAACTAGTGTGGGATTATTTTGTAGTGTCCACCATCAGGCATTTAAGAGGCTCCTTATGGAATTGGTTAGCCATTTTGGTAAGAAATTGCTCTTGCCTGAACTTCTTGATGGTGTGCTGTGTGAATTGGGCACACAGGACCCACAGAAAAATGAGACAGTCCTTCAGGGTTCCTGCTTCATGAGAGAACTGCCAGGCATTTTTTAGGACACAGAAGAAAGACACTGATGAACTTTGCCAGTACAAGGCATCACAGATCTCCAAATTTCCTGCCAGATACTATGGACTGTAGGCCTGTAGGCTGAAGATGGATGCTACAGTGATAAAGAAGAACTCTGGATGACTGTCCAGGCAGCAAGATGTCTCTCTCAATTCTAGAGTTTTGGAAGTTGCCTACAATGCACTTCCTGTTTACTTAGGTAACATTATATTCTTCTGGAGTCTTTGATGTAGTTGAAGAATAGACAAGTTTTTTTCTTTTTTATTGATTTTATTGAGCTATACATTTTTTTTCTGTTCTCCTTCTTTCCTCCCCCTCCACTTCAACCCTCTCCCATGGTCCTCATGCTCCCAATTTACTCAGGAGATCTTGTCTTTTTCTACTTCCCATTTGATTAGATCCATATATGTCTCACTTAGAGTCCTCATTGTTGTCTAGGTTCTCTGGGATTGTGAATTATAGGCTGGTTTTCTTTGCTTTATGTCTAAAAGTCACTTATGAGTAAGTACATATGATATTTGACTTTCTGGGTCTGGGTTAATCACTCAATATGCCTAGATCCATCCATTTGCCTGCAAATTTCAAGATGTCATTTTTTTTTCTGTTGTGTAGTACTCCATTGTGTAAATGTACCACATTTTCCTTATCAAAAACAATAGATAGCTATAATTATAGTTTTCCTTAGTTATAATAAAAGATAAAGTAGATACAAATATTATAACTGTAATTCTTTCTTGGTACCTGTTTTGTTACATGTAATTTTACTATGTTAAAATTAAAACCATCCTTTTTATTTGGACCAGAAAAGGGGAAACCTTACCTCATCGTTTGTCAACTTCAGGAATAAATCTCCAAGGACTCCTTGGCGTGGCCATTTCAGGACCCTCTCCTGCAGGGCATGAAGCAAATCCAAGTGCTGCTGGACAAGGTAGCGCAAGGAGCCAGGGAAAAGGCTTGAAATAGAACAAAGGAAGAATTACACAAAGGTCCCATAGGAAATAACACAGGAGGCCCCATCATCCAAAACACTCTCACAGGTCTGTATTAGGGTTTTGAATTTCTTTTCAGCAAAGAGTCTCTCCTCAGACAGTGAAAGGCCCCTTTACTGGTGGCCCCTTATGCAAATGTGAATTGACTAACTAATAAAGAACATATCACAGGAATGTCTTGCTAAAAACCAAGCTGGGACAGTTTCACGTATGCCACACTCTATAGAAATCCTAAAGGAATCCTTTCCAGCGTTTTAGATTCCAATACCCAAGCAATCTATTCTTAGCTACTGGCTAGAAGAATGCCACTTGGGTCAGGGATAAGGTTAGGTTAACATTGCAGCTAGAGGGTCAGGGTGTTGGGGCAATGGAGGAGCTTGCATATCTTTTTCTTTCTGCTCTAAAGAGGCATCACTGGGCAAAGATGCCGTGTTGTCTGTGATTGGAAGCGTCACCCCGTCCCTGGCATCCATCCTCGGACCGGACCACCAATAGAGCCAATGGAGCAGAATTCTCCATCTCAAGTCCCCTCCCCCTGGGAGTTCCCTTGGGCAGGACTCCACTTTTGGGCTCCAACTCCCAGCCTGCCAAGCGCCAATCTCTCCCCAGGGAGGATCAGGGCCACTCCCACAGGCTATTTAGCTCAAACTGGAAAAAGGAACACAAGGTTTTGGGCTTTGCAAGTGTTCTCTCTACCCCTCCCCCATCTCCCTGCCACCCGAGAGTGCTTCATTTATTAACTTTGGGCATTTTAATTCAGTCTAATCTGGTTTGATTGGAGTTCTTTGCACAGGTGGAGAGGCCCATTTTAAATTTTTCCTAACAGATGGAGGTCCCCCACTGAAAGGGTCCATTTTTTTTCCCGTGGGCCCAGGGCCACGTGCTGAAAAACGCCCTTTTCACCAGGCAAGGTTGACTTCACTCGGTGAGTTCCCCTTTTTGCTTATGCCGGTAGGGTTTGGTAGGGTTCCCAGGGTGACCCATTTGCTTTTCAGGCTGAAGTCATGGGCCCACGCCAAAAGCCTGACCCATGAGGCTGAGCCAGGCTTAGCTGAGGTGAATTTTGATTGGCCAGGGATGCCTGCCATTCAATTTTCACAGCCCCATTTTCAGATCAAGAGTTGTCTCAGTGGACATGCTGTGAAAGACTTAAGTCACACAGGCATATGCTTCTAATGGGTTTCTTGCCATTCCAAGCCGATTCCTAAAAACGACTGTTTACAAAGAGCCTTTTTTTTTTTTTTTTTTTTTTTTTTTTTTTTTTTTTTTTNTTTTTGAGACAGGGTTTCTCTGTAGCTTTGGAGCCTGTCCTGGCCGGGTAGTGGTGGCGCACACCTTTAATCCCAGCACTCGGGAAGCAGAGGCAGGCGGATCTCTGTGAGTTCGAGGGCAGCCTGGTCTACAAGAGATAGTTACAAAGATCCTTTTAAATTGGGGCTAAGGCTCAGTAACCCACCATTTCCAGATGCGTGCTCCTGTCTCCCTTCCACCCCTCCACTGATTCAAAGCCCAAGGTTTGTTCTGCCCCCACTTCTGCCTCTCCGCAGCCCAGACAGCTCCAGCACTATGCCCAGAGGTGCGGCTGGCTCCCGTCCTTTCCAAATTCGGGGATCTAAACCTGACCACCTGTCCATCAGCCGAGGACAACGGAGGCCATCTCCGTTCCTTCCGAACGGAGCTGTTTGCTATGCCTCCCTGGCTTCTGCCGCTATAATGGGATCACTCTGGGCCCTTTCCCTCTAGCTCTTTGTCTGGGACTCTCTACAACAGATTTGTTTCTTCCCCTGTCCTTCCACTTTAAAACTGTATGGATGTTTCGTCCTTACATTTCTGATCCCTCCTGTGCAGCATCTGCTAGTCTGGCCCTTAATGGGATCACCTCTGTGCTTTTGTCACCTGCCTACGCCAAAGTTTTGGGTTGGTCAGCTGACAACGTACTTTATTTGTCTCTCTGTTAAAATAATGTGGCCACAGTATGTCTGTGAAACTCTATAGATGTTTCTGTGTGCATGTGTGCTCATTTTAAGATTCTTTGACTTGTTAAAATATTCCTTTTCACCTTCTTACACTTACTAGCACTGATAAACTGTAATTAATCGGATAAAATACATGCCTAAATTTAGCTTACATGCCCAGTTTAAATACCAGCTAATGGTACCTAGTTCTAAAGTGCCTTTACAGATCTGAGAGTATGGCATTTATCAAAAGAGCTTCTAACACAAACATGGAGCTCCGCAGCACCCTATAGCTCCTCCAAGAAGATGCATGGCTACAGAAGGACCTTCTGCCTCCAGGCTGCCCTTGGCCTTGGCAAAGCCACTCACACAGCAAAAACCAGCCTTTCACCTCTTCAGCTTCACGGATGTTTCACCCAGGGACTCAATCTCATCCTGCCAAGACAGGTAGACTAAATCCCCCCACCCCACCCCAACACACACAGGAGAAATCTCAGCAGCTAACAGCAGGCACTGCTGGAGTTCTCCAAGGACTAAGGAGAGGATTTGGGATTGCCTGCATAGCTAAAAAGCGGTCGCATTTCTGCTCATTTATCCCTCTCAGATCTGTCTAATGGCATTTGATAATTTAAGGTACTATTTACTTATTACTTCATCCATGACATTTAATGAAATTTCCTGCTAAAATACAGGCTTCATAGTCCAGGATTAACAGGTTTCAGGTATTTCTTCAGAGGTTCAGAGTTCCCAGTTTCCTTTGTCTTCCAAAATGTTCATGCCTTTTAACCTAAAGCAATAGCCTTTTGCTGTGACACCAAGATGTAAATCTGTTCCAGTTCTCTTACAGATACTACACAGGTCCCTGGAAAAGTTCAACTGCTGAATCAAAAATCAGGTCTAGTGAAAAACTAATAGTCTCCAGAGCCTACACTAACCCCAGCCAGCACATTTTACAGGTCACTCCTGATGTCTGGGTCAAGACCAACCTACAAAGCACTCCCCAGACAATGCCAAACACCTATACCAGCTCCTGGGACTTCACCATTGGTACCAACTCATCTGGACCAAGGACACCTGTCAACTAAAATCTGTTTTTTCTCCTTGCCACCTGCCTTCTCATCTCCCTCACAAAGCAGCTGCCTGAGGACTCCAGGACGACAGCAAACCAGATGCTGCCGCAGCCACACGTCTGGCTGAGCGTGAGCACACCAACTCCCCTCTCTCCCATGTCACCCCATGCCCGCAAGAAGTAGCCAGACTTGAGCTGATGCCCCTATATCCAAGGACTCTGGGGTGTTTGATTGAAAGTGAGTCCCCAGCCCCCTGACACCCCCATATCCATGGAGTCTGGGATGATTGGAGGTGTCCCTCCAGTCCCTGGCATCCATCCTAGGGCCGCCAGTGGAACCCCAAAGGAACAGAATGCTCCATCTCAAGTCCCTGGGAGTTGCCTTGGGCCGGACTCCACCTCTCAGCCTGCCACGTGCTGACTCTTCCCCGGGGAAGGTCAAGACCACTCCCTCAGGCTATTTAGGCTTGAGTTGGAAAAAGGAATGCACCATTTTGGAATTTGCCTGTGCTCTCCCTCTGTCTTCCCTGCACCACGCTCCCTGCCTCCTGAGAGTGCTGCATTTTTAAATGCAGGCATTTTAATTCAGTCTAATCTGCTTTGATTGGAGTTCTTTTGCAGAGAGGCCCATCTTAAGATTTTTCCTAACAGTCTGTGTTCTGTCATGGATAGACTAGGGCTGATCAGCCCCTTCCTCGTGTTTTATGAAGCCTCTTTCCTACTTCAAATCTCTTTCCTCTACCTGCTAGTGCACTTTATTCATTCATTCATTCATTCATTCATTCGTTTGTTTTGGTTTTTCCGGGCAGGGTTTCTCTGTGTAGCCCTGGCTGTCTTGGACCTTGCCCTGTAGACCAGGCTGACCTCAAACTCACAGAGATCCTCCTGCCTCTGCCTCCCGAATGCTGAGATAAAAGGCATGTGCCGCCATGCCTGGTTGTGTGTCTCATTTTTAAGCCCAGAGGAAATGAAGAAGTGAGAAGTCGAAGAATGCTGGGGAGGAGAAAAGAGAGACAACAAGAATCATCTAAGCCTTTGATTCTAGGGGGAAGGGGAGCTGGGAATAGGGAAGGACAATATAAGCAGGGGTCGGCAGGAACAAGACAAGAAGCAGAAGGCAATGGAACTAGCTGCACACCAGCAAGGATCTGAGCTCTAATTTGATGGCCCAGGGAAATTCCAAGTAGATTTCCTCAGGCTTCCAACACAATGCATTAACAAAGATACGATAGCCTACTTGTCTCTGAAAGCTGAACTTCTTTAAACATTTCCCAAGGGTGTCATGGATGTACATGTGTGGAATATCAAGGTGATCTGGCCACAAGCAGACCTCTGTCATTAAACAGGATGTCGGATTCAGAGACAGGTTTGGTTTGGTTTTGTTTTTTAACCCATTTCTAAGCAAAGCAAAGACTTCCATGGAGCTGTTGCTCAGAGAAGTGACAAACACCAGAATAGGGTTCTGAGTTATCTCATGAAAAGTACAGGGAGTCCTGGCTTGAAACAACTGAGGACTCTCTTGAACACTTCACTGTTTTCCAGAGAAAGCCCAAGACTATATTTTATAGGTCTGAAAGAGGTGGCGATGTCAGGCTTGAATGTCAAGTTGTCACTGCTATCTTAAATCCAAGGTTGTTTCCAGCAGGGCAGCAAACACTGACGCCTTGAGGCTTGTGACGAGGGAAGTCATCAAGTAAATTCTCATGGAAAAAATTGCCAATAGATGTACGCAAAGGGCATCAAGGTCTCAGAAAAGCTTATTAAAAAGAAGAATATAGTGAGGGGAAGAGGATAATGAAGCCCTAACTGTAGGATAGTAGAAGGCGACACTGCACTTTAAGTAACAACACTCTGAGTTGAAGCCCTTGCTGCTTGATTGAGGAAAAGCAGAAAGAGGGTTACCATGACAACCAATATGGACAGCATTGTCATGTGTGGAATAAGGATTACCTTACCTCTATTGGAAATGATATAATAGCCTATTTATTAGTTTTTTAAAATATTTATTTATTTATTATGTATACAATATTCTTCCTGCGTTTATGACTGAAGGCCAGAAGAGGGCACCAGACCTCATTACAGATGGTTGTGAATGTGGTTGCTGGGAATTGAACTCAGGACCTTTGGAAGAGAAGGCAATGCTCTTAACCACTGAGCCATCTCTCCAGCCCCTATTTATTAATTTTTTGAGACAGGTTTATCTGTGGCTTTGGAGCCTGTCCTGGAACTAGCTCTTATAGACCAGGCTGGCCTTCAACTCACAGAGATCCACCTGCCTCTGCCTCCCGAGTGCTGGGATTAAAGGCGTGCGCCACCACTGCCCGGCCATAGCCTTTTTGTTTTTAATTGCGTAAGATTATAGGTCCATTCAGTCCTCAATGATAGCGAACACCACAAGTGAGCTGACTAAGTAAAAAGGACTTGACTATTCAGGGATTTAGCAACCCTGTTTGACACATCAACAGAGATCTGAAGTAAGACTTGCTGGACTCTTCAAGAGAAAAGCCTAAATTCTGAAATAGGAAGTGATGCATTCAATGTATCTGGTTCTCCAAAAGCCCTAATGCATTACTGTTGATAAGAATGGTATCCTAGAAGCCACGAGACCCTTAGAAAAACTGAGGGGGGGGGCTTGGAAAGAGCTCAGGGGACAGGTCAAGTGTGTCTGCCTTTGACTTCTGGCACTAACGGGCCTTGTGGCTGTGAGCATCTCCAGCCCTTAGAGACATCACAGAGTTCTGACCATTCTTTTTCCAGTGTGAAGCTAGTGCCAGGGCTTCCTGAGTGGTAGCTAAGTGCTCTGCCCCAGGGCTGGCAAAGAGTCGTGAAGATCCAGATCAAATATAGAGCGCAGGACCCAGGACACTGTTCCAGGACACAAGCTTATTTCCCACCTTTATCTGAGACGCCCAGATTCATGGAAACTAGAAAGAGACACTGCTACTTAGGATCTTAGGTACAGAAGCAAAGTCACACCAAAAGGTCAATTTCTTTTCCACCTGAGTCACGGAAACTGACTGTATGTTTGGCAAAACAAAAAAGCTGGAGTCCAGAACCTTCCTGGAGCCCCAGATGAGCAGGTAGGAGAGTTAGCCAGGCTGTTCTGGAGTCGCTGGGTGGGAAATCAAGGGGCCAAATGGAGTAGGAAGAAACAAAATCCAGGCCGCCGAGGAAAGGTGAAGCAAGCGTCTAGAGCCATCATTGTAAGCAAGGGTTTGGCCATGTCAACCCTTCTGTTCTCTATGTTTTGTCTACCTCCATTCTGTACTAAAATGGTCCTCGGAATCAGTCAAGACCCTTGAGAGATGTCGGGGAACAGTTCCTCGCCTCAGTCATTTAGATGGGAGTGGATGTTCGGGTTTGGGTAGGAGGCGACATCTCGTGGTGGTAAAGTCAAGTAAAATGGGAGGAGCATAAGGAACAGAATAGTGGGAGCTCCGTTGGGTAGATGAACGAACTGTTCACCACCTTACGGAAGAAATGCTTATGGGAATGAGGCCACATAATCCGACTTCCCGTTCATCAGGATTGTTCTTTTCCTTGCTTCACTCTGAATTAGCTCATTTTTATTACCTTAGTCCTTCCCTCTGAGCCTTTCTTTCCTCTTTCCTGTTCTCTCCTAACAGAGGGAGTCGTGACACTAGGGCCAGCATGCTGGAAGCACTACTCCCCCCCACACACACACCTAGGCCCGCACTCCCACGCAGTACCTGGTGCTATGGGATCGCCTGAGTTCTATCAGCAGGTAGCATTGCCTAATGGTCCTTGGTACTCAGTGCTCCCATTACCTAGGACTTGGAGGGAGTCTATCACCCCTGAGGACGCACAATGCCTCACTTTAAATTCCGGGCAGACACATCACAGACTGAACGCCCTACAGATTCTACTCAGTATCTACTTGCTGAGAACCTAAGCTCGGGCCTTGCCATCAGTGCCTATCCTCTTCTCAAAGGCTGTTCCTGGGACTCTCTAGGCCCCAGTATTCCCAAAGTGGAAAGGGGGAAGAACTTACCTTAAATTTTACTCAATCTGAAAAGCAAAGGCAATGAGCACACGGGTACCTTCTCTCCTTGGAATTCCTCTTTCCATCTGAGCCCTGGAATGTTGCCTTTATCTTCAGGATCAGGGAGATGTTAATGACGTATTTCCGCTCAGATTCAAGCAGCTCCAGAGCCACAGTCTGCCTTTTTGCTTTAAAACAAACCCAAGGGGATTTTTTTTTTGTTAATCAACTCCCTCCCAAACACTAAGCCAGGCAGAAAATCGATAAAAACACGTGGAAAATATCAGTTGGCAGGGTCCCCCAGGATCACATAAACCAGGCCTGGTGGCACACGCTTGTTATCCAGGAGTTGAGGGGAAGGCAGGAAGATGAGAAATCCAAGGTCATCTTCGGATATTTAACCAGCCCTTGAGAGGGGGGGGGGGGGGACAGGGGTGAAAGGGGGAGAGAGAAAGGCATCAGCATATTTGGGCAAGAGGAAAAGCAGAACGGAAGCATAAGATTCATGAAGCAAAGCAAAGGACACAACATCATGTGACCGAAGACGGAGAACCCGCTAAGAAGCAGCAGAGGCTAAGCCTGGAGCAAGTGAGGTAAACCTGCACCAATGGCACGAGCCTCCAGATTGCACTTCCGGACTGGTATACCCTGGCTTCACCCCATGAGAAATGGGAGAAGCAGCATTAGGGAAACCCTTGCCTGAGCTAAAGATGTAGAAGGCAGAATCAGCATCCAATGAGAAAGAGAAACCCCTTGACCACGTTCCCCTCAGGTCCCAGAGTGCCAGCAGCCTCTTGGCAGGAGACCGGCAGCTTGCCCCTTGATGCACTGAACTTCCCAAGTAGAACAGGATAGCACACTAAGATATGGACATAAAAAGAGATCACTCACCAATATGCAACTTTGTTTGGTAGGAAGCGTCACCTCAGCTCCTTGGTACCCCTTTATAAAAAAAAGTCTGGAATATTTAGCTGGGGTCTTCACCCCAGCTCCCGGCATAAGCTCCCTCTCCCGGAAATGGCCTCAGTCCAGACGCCACCTTCGAGAAAGCCCACCAAATGGTGACCCCTCCCCAGGGAAGGTCAAGACCACTCCCACAGGCTAAACTGCCCCCCCCCAGGATTAACACGTGGTCTCTGGGTTTCTGCATGGTCTCCCCTTTTTTCTCTTTCCCTCTCCATGTTTTCCGGGGGCCACCCAGGAGTATTGTCATCTATTGCCATCTATTAAACCTGGGTATCTTTGAATTCGGTTTGATTTGGTCTGATTGGGATTATTTGTGTCAGAAAAGAGGTTTGTTGGCCAGAAGAAAATGCTTAACAAACTTTGCTACCTAATAGCTCACTATTGACAAGCTTGGATAATACAAAATTCCAGGTTATTTGGGGGGCAGGGTGTTTGTTTCATTCTTCCTTCCTTCTTTTTATTTGGTTTCTTTCTTTTGGGGGATAATATTTCTTGACCACATAAACAATTAAAGATACTGAGACATTTGAATAAGATTATACCATAGGAGAGAGGAAACAAATACACATGTAATTGTAAATTAAATCTTACACTCAATATTCTCAAAAAGATATGCAAAATATTGTAGTCACTTAACGATTACTGGATGCTGTTTTAAAAGAGGAAACTTCTTGACATTTTTTTAAACATAGTCAAATTTAAGGGTGTATCAAGTCAAAGACACCTCTCCCTCAGAGGAAGCCAAGCACAGAAGAGAAAGGCTCATTGAAGAAAAATTTGACTTGTGGAAAAATGAAGTCAGGGAACCCAACACTAAATTAGAAGTACCAAAGAAAAGGAAAACTATGGCTCAGATGATATTACAAAATTAATGGGGAGGGGGCATCCCAGGACATGTGCTACCAGAGAGCCCCTTTGTCCTCTGCATAAATAATGAAAAAGATCGCACTTCATCATGAGGACCACCACATCCTTGGGAAGCTGCATCACTTCAGGGATAAAGGGAAGACCCTAAAAGTTATCAGATGGAGGGGACAGCAAGAGGGCTCAGAAGGCAAAGGCACTTGTTGCTGCACCTAAGGACCTGAGTTCCACCCTCAGGACCTAAATGGTAAAAAGACAGAACTGCCTCTCAAAAGTTGTCTTCTCGCCTGCTCAAAGTAGTGTGTGTGTGTGTGTGTGTGTGATGTTTAGTATTTTATATAATAGATTCGATTCCTGCGTTTAAAATAATGTTACCAGACAGCAATGCTGGATCACATTCAAAGAACTGAAGATGAGAGCAAGGCTGGGCTTCCCAATAGCAACATCAGGAGCTGAAAGACAGGGAGAACTGCTTCACACTGATGGGAGAAAATGGTTTTCCATTAAACCAGTGACAGCACTGTGATGGCCGCAGTGGCAGTGAGGTGTCTGAGTCTCTAAGCAAAATGCTTTAAAGATAAAAAGATATAAGTAATAGCGTTTTTATTACATTAAGAAAAACAAAAGTCTCAGCACTGGTTGTGAGGGTCCGTGTGGGTGTTGGAAGCAAACTCAGGTCCTATGGAAGAGCAGCCAGTGCTCTTAACCACTGAGCCATCTCTCCAGCTCTGGATTATGAATTTTTAAAAATGTGATAATGACACCAGTGTGGTTAATAAAAAAGAACTAACTACTAAAGGAATTACATGCAACAATGTAGATGAATCTCAAAAACACATATTGAGAAAAAAGACACCAGGCAAAAGAGAATACAAAAGTATAAAGTATTATCCCATTGACATGAAGTTCAAGAACAGATGCACCCATACAGCAGGCACAGTGGTTCTCTACATAGATGCCAACGAAAAGGAAGATGAGAGAAATTCCTAGCATAAGAGAAATATGTATGATGATCTTGATAGTGATCACAGTCAATATTCATATGCAAACGTCAAGTTGGGAGGGTGAATGGGTTCTCCTTAAAGGTACGGCTGAGCCCCATAGTCTGGAGCTTATGAGCAGAACGAAGTGGATATTTTATAAAACAAAACAAAATGAGGACACAAAATTTCCCGGGGGTGGAGCAGTGAGGGGTGAGTCTGGGAGGAGCTAGAGGATGAGGGTAAATATGATCAAAATAAACTCTCAACGAAGTAATAAAATATTTCTTTAAAGTCATAAGCTGAGGCCCACAAGATTGCTCAGTGGTTAGAGCACTTACCACACAATCTCCAGGCTCACACAATAGCACACATCACTGTAATACATACCTGTACATATCCACCATATATACACATATGTGCTACAAATTTCAAGTTTCAATGAGGATCCATGAATTTTGGTCTATGTAAATTAACTTTCAACAAAGTATTGTTTACAAAATAGCATAAAATATGAATCAATTGTGGTTTGAATGAGAATGGCCCCCATTGGCTCATATATTTGAATACTTGGCTGTTTGGGAAGAATTGGAAGTGTGGAGGAAGTGTGTTACTGGGGGCAGGCTTTGATATTTCAAATGATTCCCAGTGATTCCTCTCTCTGACTCCTGGCTGTGGGTCAGAATGTGAGCTCTCAGCCTCGCTATTGCTCCTCCATCATGACCTCTAACCTTCTGAAACTGGAAGTCAAACTAAATGATTTCTTTGCCTTGGTTGTGGTGTTCTACACAGCAACAGCAACAACGAAGCATTAAGACATAAGTATCAAGAGAAACTATCAAAAAGAATTCAAAGTGGCTGCCTTGTTTCTTGTTAATAATAATTTTAAAGTTTTTAGTTCTATTTAACTTTCATGTATTTGATTAAAATAATATTAAGAAAAATTATCCCCCCAAAAGTGGAGAATGCTATTGCCAGTACTCATTTACAATATGAAGGAAAGGAAGAAGAGAGAAGGGGGAGGAAGGAAAACAAGAGCTTGTTGCGGCGTTCGACATTTTGGCGGCAGACTGTTAATAAATGATTGGCATATGGAAAATTCAGTATCGCTGACTAAATAGATATTCTCCAAGAACCTCAATATTTTTTTTTTTTTTTTGCCAAAGCACTACCATGCAGAGTACCATAAGTACCAGAGTCAAGGTGGAGGTCCCACCAGGGTATGTGACCTCTGCTGAGTCACCTCTGTAGGCACTAGGGCCTTCGTCCTGAGAAGATACAAGGTGGTGTTCACTCCATCCATACTACCTGGGCTCCAGCCCCCTGTTCCAAGCCCTCACGTATCTTATTCTCTTGTATTTCCCTCCACATCCCCCTCAGAACTTACCAGCTAGAGAGGTTTCACATAGGACATTTTCCAGGGAACTGTGTCTGCCCTGGCCAGCCTCCTTGAGTTTATCGGGGTGATCTTTTGTGACATACTCCTCGCCCCATTCTTTGCCCTCCTTCGGCTGTCTCCACAGGCCGGGTGTGTGATGGCCCTTGGACTGGATCTCAGCTGAGAGAGAAGGCTTAAGGTTTTCATCAGCTTCTGGATTTGTTGGGGTCACCCCTGAAAAACAATGCCTGCTATAAAGAATTTGCTTTAAAAAAAAAAGATTTTATTTATTATGTATACAGTGTTCTTCCTGCATATATGCCTACACACCAGAAGAGGGCACCAGATCTCATTATAGATGGTTGTGAGCCTCCATGTGGTTACAGGGAATTGAACTCAGGACTTCTGGAAGAGCAGCCAATGCTCTTAACCTCTAAGTCATCTTTCCAGCCCCAAGAACTTTCCTTCTTTTAGCCAGGTGGGGGGGGGCGCAAGCCTTTAATCCCAGCACTCAGGAGGCAGAGGCAGGCAGATCTCTGTGAGTTTAATTAAGGTCAGCCGAGTCTACGAAACAAGTTCCAGGACAGTCAGGGTTACACAGAGAAGCCCTGTCTTGGAAAAAGAAAGCAAGAAAGGAAAGAAGGAAGGAAGGAAGGAAGAAAGGAAGGAAGGAAGGAAGGAAGGAAGGAAGGAAGGAAGGAAGGAAGGAAGGAAGGAAAAAGAGAGGAAGAAACTAGTGTTTGTTACTAAATCTTAACTAATATACTGCTAGCCAGATGGGTACCTCATCCCTAAAAGAGTAAATATGTCAACGAAGGGTTAAAAATTTCCCAAACTGCAGTCAGTCACTTCTCACCTCTCTTTTTCTCTGGTCCACAAAATAAGGAAGCTTTTTAAATCCCAGCACAGTAGTCATGCCTGTACTTAATTTAGGAGATGGAGGCAGGAGGTTCAGGAATTGAATGCTGTCCTTAGCTTTGTAGAATGGTCGGGGCCAGCCAGGCTACACACACGAGACTGTGACCCAGTAGATTAGACTACTAGACTAGACAATTTATAGCACAGTGTGATTTAATGCAACACACTTGACTCCCTGGATCTATTTGCCTTCAGGTAAACACGGGAGGCGATGGCTGCACTTTTAGGAGGAAGTACAGAAAGGAGGGAAGGAAAGGCACCAAGGGCATCTGGGGAGTGGTGCAGGATGTTCTGTTTGCTATTTTGTCCCTTTATCCTGTGGATGCCAAGTTGGCAGAAACAGGAAATGGAAAGAATGGAGGGAGGATTAAGAAATGTATGAGTTCCGGTGAATTATCAATGGAGGAGATTTTGCATTAAACTATAAAGTATGTGATGCAAGAAAAATTTGTAGCCCTGTGGTGGCGGCCCACACCTTTAATCCCAGCACTCAGAAGGTAGAGGCAGGTGGATCTCTGTGAGTTCAAAGCCAGCCTGGTCTATAAGAGCTAGTTCCAGGACAGGCTGCAAAGTTAAAAAGAAACCTTGTCTTGAAAAACTGAAGAAAAAAAAAATATATCGTGGACTATTCCCCTGTGAGACTTTAGCAAATGTTAGATTATCAGTAATTGGAACAAGAAAGAATTAAAAACCCTGATTTGTTCCTCACTATTACCAGTTCTCCTCCCCCAGCACTTGTGTGGGAATGTAGGTGAAAACGATGCTCACTCCTGTCCAGAACTGTGATTTCGATGCCAAGTGTCCTCACAAGGCCGTGGGTTGGAGGTGTGGTCCGTGATGCAAGCAGTGGTCAGAGTAGGGCTTTGGGGAGTGGCTGGAGGAGGGTCTACTCGCTAGTAGGTTAATCCAACAATGGGTTCCATTTTTAGACTATTGGAAGTGATAAAACATGAAAGTGGGGAATATCTGGGAGAAATTGGTCACTAGGGATATGCTTTAGTAATGTGTAGCTTGTCCCCCATTCCTTCCTATTATTTCCTCTGCTTCCTGGGTGCCACAAAGGAAGCAGCATCTTAAGCCACAGCCTTCCCATGATGCTATTCTGCTCATCCAAAGTCCACAGAGACAAGGCGAGCTGACCTTGGATTGAAACATTTGGAATCAGGAGCTCAAGAAAACGTCTCCTCCCTGAAGTGGTTTTTCTTAGGTATTTTTCAGAGTCAAGAAACTGATTAACATGTCTGAGTCCTTTCCTACAAGGCTCAGGATGGGCCAGTAGAGCAGTAAAGGTGCCCGGACCAGCTCTTGACTCAGCGGGGAAAGGGCTTGCCTTGTAAGCCCAACAGCCTGAGTTTTGTTCCTAGAAATCATAAAGGTGGAGTGAGAGAACGAGCTCCACAGAGTTGTCCTCTGATCTCCACGTCTGTGCAGGAGCATGCGTACACACATTTTACACATGCATATAATACAAACTTAACCCAACAAGACGCACTTACCAGGACCCATCATTCCCTTCACGTTGCCATCTCCTACATGAACAGACCTGGACTCTTGGGCTGCAGAGAAAAGGAAAACTTTATTCAGCATCCTTTCTACCAACATGGATTGGGCAGGAAAAAGATCACAGATTTTATAGTATCATGAGTGATGCCAGCAAGGGAGCAGGGGGAGGTGCAGTATAATGGAGCCTTACTAGTTACTCAGCTGTTAAAGATGCCAACAAGTGATGCCTACTTCAAGAATCCAATAGGCTAAACACTAAGTTCTTCAAGTAGTACCCAGCATACTTTAAGAGCAACTTACTGTTTAACTGTGATATGGATGGCATTGGTGCTGATGACGGCAGTGAGAAGAGGAGAAAGATGCCCGATGCTCTCTTCTCTGCCTACCTTTCCAACAGCTTCCATTTCAGTGTAAAAACCCAAATCGCTCTATGAGCACACAGTCCCAGACATTTCTCTGAACCCACACTTGCTGCTTGTTTTTGAATTGCCTCTCTTATCCCCATCCCATCCACACTTCCTGAGACCATTGGTCTTCTTGTTATTCTTCTGAGTTTGCTAGCTATGCTTCCGTTAGGATGGCAACAGGGTCACAGAGGCTGCCTCTGCTATCAGGGCTGACTCTTCACTCGGCTCCACTGAGTCTGATGGGTGAACGGGAAGAGTGGCAGCCTGGTGTCCCTGCCTTCATACTGCATCTGCCTACTGTTGCCTTAAACTCGAGTCAGATTCCCATCCTCCTTTGCAATCGGACATGAGATCATCTACAGAATCCCTGTTTAAAATTCACAATACACGGTTGTTTAGTCCAAAATTTACCTACCTGGCTCTGCTTGTCCCCCTTTAAGGATTAGGGCACCAAGATAGAGTCGGACATTTTCCATACTTATAGGTACATCAACATCAACAGACAATCAACCACCAGCTTTTACAACATCCATTCAGGACCACTGGAGTGGCCCCTAGAAGTCCCCATCACTGCTGTAAACCTGAAGGGGTGTCCAGTGAGTACCCCAACTAACTCTGTTTTCTCCTCTAGCCTTTCTTTCTCTGGGTCACTTCACTTCTCAGCTTATCGAAAGTTCCAGAAACAAGAAGCCATGCAAACCATCAGCTCTTTAGCTCAAGCAAGACCCTCAGGGCCAGACTACAATTTGACCAAGACTGCTTGACTACACATGATCCTCCCAACACATCCTCTTGTGTTCTTTCTCCATATTGTCTTAGAGCTATTTGCTAGTTCTAAGAAAGCAAGGATTCAGATGATAACCCACCTTCAGGGCCACACTGAAATAAGACCCTTCCCTACTTCATCACTATTTGAATCTGATTGGACCACTGAGGCAAGAAGTAGCCTGATGTGAATGAACTAGCAAAGAAGAGACAGAAGGACACAAGGAGAGGAATGATCTAATGTCAAGGTCCAGGGAGCAAGGCCTAAAGACTACAGGACTAAAGAAACTGCTTTTAGCCAGGTGGTGGGACACACACCTTTAATCCCAGCACTTGGGAGGCAGAGGCAAGTGAATCTCTGTGAGTTCGAGGCCAGCCTGGTCTACAAGAGCTAGTTCCAGGACAGGCTCCAAAGCTACAGAGAAGTGCTGTCCAGAAGGAAAAAAAGACTACAGGTAGAAATAGGGACAACCAAAGAGAAGAGAATAGAAAGGAGAGAGAGAGAGAGAGAGAGAGAGAGAGAGAGAGAGAGAGAGAGAGAGAGAGAGAATGGCCTTGGAAACTGTGAAGAAGTTTATACTAGGGGCATGGCAATGCACTCTTTAATCCCAGAACTCAGGAGGCTGAGGCAGGTGGATCTCTGTGAGTTCAAGGCCAGCCTGGTCTACAGAGCAAGTTCCAGGACAGTCAGGGAGGGTTACACAGAGAAACTTTGTCTCAAGAACAAAAGGAAAGAAGAAAGAAATTTAGACTTTGAATCTGATAACAGTAAGAAACCAAAAAAGTAAATTTACAAATAGGCAGAAAATAGAAGGAAAGTCAAAGAAGCATGGTGTCAACCAAGAGAAAAAAACATTTTGAGAAAGCAGGCATCACAGGGACTGGACACTGATGGGGAAGGGAAGGAGGGCTAGAGGATGGTTCAGTGGGCAAAGACACTTGCTGCCGAGCCTGATGACCTGAGTTCTAGCCCCAGAAAAGAGGGAACTGATTCTCGCACAGTTGCCGTCTGCCTTCCGCATACTCACCTCAATAAATAAATAAATGGGATCTTTATACCTTTATCTTAAAAAGTCTATGTGGCAAGAACAGGTAAGGAAAGAGCTTTAGTGGAGTTGCAAGGGTAGGTGCCAATACTGGAAGGTTGAATACGTAGGACATAAGAAAGAAGAAATGGATGGTGGAACCACATCATTCAAAAAAGTCAACTTCTAGGCCTGGGGATATAGGGATATAGGAACCGTACCTAAGATGCAAAGCCTGAGACTTTTGTTAGGTCTCAGAAATTCTGAAGAAGTAGGGATGGGGGGGCAGAGATAATTGCATTTTAAAAATCTTCTTGAAGGCTTCTCAGGCTAGAAGATTCCAAGGGGCTTACTTAGTTCCATAAAATGATATTTTCAGGGTCTGGAGAGATGGCTCAGGAGTTAAGAGCCCTGTTGCTGTTGCAGAAGAAAGGGTTCAGTTCTCAGCACCCATACGGTGGTACACAATCCCCCATAACTCCAGTTCCAGGGTATCCATCTCCTGCTTTACACGCCCAGGTGCACCAGGCACACGTGGCACACGTACATACATGTCAGCAAAACATCCATTCATCCACATAAAATGAATAAAGTTGACAAAAGAGCATCATCTCATTTTAGATGACATCTCAGACTTTTGAATTCTAAGGTACATGAATGAAGCGTCCCATCAGAGGACACACAGACAGAAAGGATCTTTTCAAAGGAAGGGCAGGGCTGGAGAGATGGCTCTGGGGTTAAGAGCACCTACTACTCTTGCAGAGGACCCCAGTTCGTTTCCCAGAACCCACACTGGGTGTTTTATAACAGCCTCTAACTCCAGACCCAGGGAGATCTGATGTCTCTGCTGCTCTTACACACACACACACACACACACACACACACAGAGAGAGAGAGAGAGAGACAGAGACAGAGACAGACAGAGAGATACATAATGTAAAATAACTAAAAATAAATATTTTAAAAAGGAAAGAAAAGAAGGGTTAACCATCTGTGGCAAACAGTGTCTAAGATGGCTACCTGGTTGTCCTTACCCCCAGACATCCCCTTCCTGGGATTCCTGCCTGTGAGTGGTGTCGGATTTAATGATTATCTTCTGATGAATAGACTATGGCAGGAAGGCTGAGCTGCTTCCTCCAAAACTAGGTTATCAAAAGCTATAGTTTTGTCTTGAACATCCTGTTAGACCAACACCCTGGGGCGAGCCAGGTGTCATGCTGCAGATACCCAAGTCACAGGGACTACTCCACCATGTGGGTACATCTGGAAGAAGATGTCTTCTAAAACTACAACACTCAAATGATAACAGCTGTGGCCAGCACTTCGATGGCAACCTACGTCATGGCAGACCCCAAGTGAGTGGTACCCAGATTAACTGTGACCAGATTCCTGGCTCCTTGAAGCTACAAAATTTGGGGATAACAGACAGCAATCACACCATTGTATAATTTTTAAAAAAAAAAAAAAAGGATAAACCAACATTTTCTGAGAGTTTGATCCTTTAGTCAGCAATGGGGGAGAACAAAACTATGAGATGTCCCTATCATGAGGCGGGAAGGAGAGGCTGCCAGTGAGCAGATCACTTCAATCCAGCCTGTGAGAAAGTTCTTATCACACCAGCCCGATGACTTGAATTTGATCTGAAATTCATGGTGGGAAGAGAGAGTCACAGCCAAAAAGTTGTCCATTAACTTCCAAACCCATGCTGAGGCCCACATTCACCTGCAGTCATACAAACTAATGATAACAAATAAAAAATTTTAAATAAATAAATTCATTGGGCAATGCAGTCATCTGGATTACCTGTTTTGGTGGGAAATCTGAGGGAAAAAATCCCAAGAGGGCAGTCACACATCGTACAGAGATGCACAGATTTGCTTTGCAAATCTTACTTTTTAAGATTCTCTCTTGGGAATGCACACAGCTGCCCCAGACCTCGTACCGGTCTGACCTCTCCTTCGAGTCCATCTTTCGCTCTCCACCTGCAAGGTCTTGCTCTTCTCACCATAGAGCCAAGAACACAGGACCACCTGTGGAAGTCCCTCCCAAAGGGATGGAGCAGCCATTCCCCAGGCTGCACTCACTGACAACTAAAAGAAGCACTCATATGTACCAGCAAAAGGCCAGTAACCAAGCAACCCTGTAGTCAGTTCACCAAGTGAAAGACACTTGTCTTCGGGTGTCGGGTTCAGTTATTCATAACACGCTTACTGTCTATGAATCGGAAAACAGGTTCTTCTTGGGCTGCAAGGAAAAATCATCAACCCTACTGTTGAAGCGTTTACACTTGATTGAAAAATCACTGAGCCTATTTTGGAGGGCTTTTTATGTAAGACCAAAACAAGGAGCGGAGGACTCGGACGTGTGGAAATGTCATTTGTCTAGATGTAGGTGCTTTGTTGGACACTTTTGAGAATATAATGACAATGTAGTGAATTTTGTCTTGTTTTGTTTACTTTTCCTGATCTGAGCACAAGTCCAGGGTCACAGCCCCTGAAGAGCCAACTCCTTTGGTGCCGACAGCATGCCGTCTTGTGACGTATTTATCACATCGGTACAGTCAGGAAGTGGCTGGTGGCTGCGTTAGTCTGTACACAGCACCAGCCTGGCTTACCAGAGAAACATGGGTACTGAGTTACACCACCAGCAAGTGACATTTTAGAGGGACTTTTAAAAAATATCTAGTTCTCTCATGGTTGGTATTGTATTGAAGGCACTAGATTATTTTTAAGTTAAACACTTAGAAGAAGTCAACTTAGTATTTCCCACAAAACATTTAAAAATGGGCAGTCTCTCAGGAACCAGTGGTCATCTTCCAATTCTAGATACCAGGGAAGTTCCGAGCAGTATGGAAGCATTTTCTATCTCCTAGTGAAGACGCAAGGCACGATTCCTAAGAATCAAGGAGAAAGAAGGATGGTTAATTCCCCATGGTTTATGAGCTGTACCTTTTTCATAGGTCTGAGAAGGCAAAATGTTGGTGAAGTCTTCACTGGGATGACCCGACTCGGGGACGTTGATGGAGCGGAAGGGGCTCCCTTGCGCTTGCGCAGGCGCAGATGCAGGTCCGGCCTGTGCGCCATGCTCTTCCTTTTGAGTTTTCCTAGCAAAAGAGAAAACAGAAAGGTTGCTTTGGTTCTTAATACCCGGTAGATTAATACCCGGGAGGCTCAATTCAGAATAATGCCAGAGAATGCAGTTTTTAAATGTGTTGCCAAGACACACACAGGTTGAACCATATAAATATTTTTTATAAATTATAAATGGTTGAAGTCACTTCATATGGTTCAACTTAATTCATCAACTTCAGCATGTATAAATTACTTCTAACTGAAATGTTTTAATTCTTATTTTTCTATTAATGACTTCCCTATCACCAGGATCTTTGATTTTGTTTTAATGTGCATTTTCGACACTTGGGTCTCACTATGTTGCCCTGGTTAGCTTGGGGCTTGCTGTATGGCCCTTGCTATGTAGATTCTCCCACCTCTGCTGACCGCTAAGGTTAAAGGCATGGTCACGATCCATGTCTTGCTCTCAGCGTGGTCTGTAAACTCGACAGTGTTGGGTATTTGCTTGGGATGACTCACTCACTTAATAACTCAACTCCAAGTACCAGAAAACAGTAGCATTTTTTCCATTTGTGCACAAGGGCACATAGATGTGTGTGTGTATGCATGCATGTGAGCACATATATGTAGGTGTGCGTTCATGCATGTGGAGTTGTGAATTGTCCTCCATCACCCTCTACCTTGTTTCATGGAGTCAGAGTCTTTCCATCAAACTCAAACCTCACCCATATGACTAGTCTCACTAGCTAGTCTGCACCTCCACATAACATTATGTGGGTTCTGGAGAGCCAAGCTCTGGTGTTCAAAGTGTGCATATTCTGTGTGTGCGTGCATGTATGCATGTGTGTGTGTGTGTGTGTGTGCATTTGCCTGCAGAGGTCAGAAAAGGAATTAGAGTTACAGATGTTTGGGAGATACCTGATGCAGTGCTCAGAGCTGAAAACTCTGGTCCTCTGCGAGAGCAGCCAGACCACTGGACTGTCCCTGCAGCCTCAGTATTAACCAGCTTGTATGGCTGCATCTCTTCCAGCATGAGCTGATCTACGCTGCTGCGCAGGAGCCTACTCCGCACATGCTAACAGCTGGAAGTTTTCTCTGGGCCTCTGTGCAAGAGCCGTTGCTATTGGGTTTGCCTGGAGTAAGTATTCCCTAACTACTCACTTGGCTTTAACCTTTCGCGATTCTCTTCGTTTTTCCTGTTGAAGCTGTTCTATTTTCTGCTGCATTTCTTCTTGTTTGGAAGTGATGGCCTGAATCATGGACATTGCGTTGCTCAGCTCTTCCTACGATGTAAGAAGCAGTCGTTTGAATGGAATTGGCCCCCAGAAGCCCATAGGGAATGAGTGGTACTATCCGGAGATGTGGCTTTGTTGGAGCAGCTTTGGCCTTGTTGCAGGAAGTGTGTCACTGTGGGGGGCTTTGGGGCCTCAGATATGCTCAGTCCCTGCCTTCTCCACTCTCAACCCCTCCTCCAGCACCTTGTCTGCCTGCATGCACTAAACCTCTGAAACTGGAAGCGAGCCCTAATTAAATATTTCTCCTTCAGAAGAGTTGCCATGGTCATGGTGTCTCTGCACAACAAAAGAAACCCTAAGACAACGGAGTAAGAAAGCATACGTCAGTATCCCATAAGCCTTTGCCTGGTGCATACTTTGGAGTGAATGGGGAATAAGGGATGACGTTTGCTTTCGTTGTGGCCTCTGATTTTAACACAGAGCTCAGAACCCGGAAACCATGAGACAGATATCGTTCCATGATGACTGACAATTGGCTCAGGGGCAAGGTCTTACCCTGGGCTGCTATAAGAAAGGGCAAATTTTCAGCATGTGGTACTAGGCCCGACATGCTTTTAGCTGGGAAATAAAGAAGGCTCCCACCTTGAAGTAGTTTAATGAATTCTTCATCTCGGTGACTTTCTCTTCCATGGAACATCGGCAGCTCTTGACCTTCTCTTCCAAAGCATATTCTCCATGCTGGATGCGCGTCAGTTCCTGCATCGCTTCTGTGAAGCCAGTTTTCAGTTCCGAGGCCAGGGCCTGCAACTGAAGGGTTGTGGAAGAGTGAAGTATTACAAATGGCACCGTTTACCCCTTGGCCTTTTCCTCTCCTTGAGGAAACACACTCTTGAGAAACCTCACATGCTCCCTTTACCCAGCTCTGGAATCTTTCAGGTGACTCCACCCCTGTGTGTCCAGGGAGAAGGCGACAACAAAGCGAGCAGTTGGTCCACGGGTTCTCACGAACACGGCCACCACTAAAGAGCCCGGTATGTAGGAATGAGGCTCGCTTAAACCAGGTGGTGGGGCACGCACCATTAATCCCAGAGAGGCGGAGGCAGGCGGATCTCCGAATTTAAGGCCAACTTGGTCTACAGAATGAGTTCCAGGAGAGCCAGGGCTACACAGAGAAAGCCTGTCTCAAAAAGAAAAAAAGAAAAGCAATGAGACCTACTTGGAAAAAACATATGATTCAGCACCTAGATTCTATGAGAGAAATCACATGCCACGGTCCCTCTGATTATCCCCACAACATAAGACTCTGGAGAGAAATCACATGCCACAGTCCCTCTGATTATCCCCACAACATAAAGAAATTCAGTTATTTTTCCCAAAAGATGTGAAAAAGTGAGACAGGGGCCAAATAGCTGGCTCGGTGCTTAGGAGCACTAGAGGACCCGACTCCAGTTCCCAGCACCCATGTCAGGCAGCTCACAACCATCTGTAAGTCCAACTCCAGGGGATCCGACACCTTCTGATTCAACGGCATTTGCACGCATGTGTATACATACAACCACACAGATATACATACACACAAACAACAAAAATAACAAAAAATAAAGTCTTTTTAAAAATAAAAATAATAAGCCAGACAGTGGTGGTGCATGCCTTTAATCCCAGGACTCAGGAGGCAGAGGCAGGAGGATCTCTATGAGTTAGAGGCCAGCCTGGTCTACAAGAGCTAGTTCCCAGGACAGACTCCAAAGCTACACAGAGAAACCCTGTCTCGAAAAACCAAAGGGGGGGGTAATAAATAATAGTAAGAATTTCTTTGAAAAGACAAAGTTGTTGTTTTTTTTTTCTGGAGTTGTGACATTTTTAACAGTTGGTTCTGATCTTGTGCTTGTTGGCTCTGATATGAGTTGTCTTCAGTAGTCAGGCCAGAGCATGTGGGAGAGCACGTGCTATACGCCTGCTGGTTAAATACCGGGAGAGAGATCAATCAGTTCTGCAGTCAGGTAGGGTACAAGTCTTAGCTTTCTCCCACAAGATGACCAACATAGGCAGACGGGCTAGCCTCTGGGTAGTAGTTCACTCATCGGTCTTGAGTATGAAGTGAGCAAATGTAGTTAAGCAGCCTCCCACGCACATGCTTGGTACAGAGGTGCTCCGCATTTCTGATTCATTTCATAGGTTGGAAATCAAAAAGTCAAACTCAAACAGAACTGTGGAGAAATGGAGCGCTTCTAAAGATGTTTTATTTTCTGAGCGAAGGTAAAAGGCATTTCAACAGACACTAAATTAAGATAGTAGTAAGGTAACACTGTTGTCTTGATTTTTATGATCCGATTGGACATAGAACTCTCAGACACACACCTCTCTTCAGAACAGAAATATTCAGAAGGCTTATTCTACCATTTAAAATATCATGTCTGGAGAGCCGGCTCAGCGGTTAAGTGCACTTGCTGCCCTGGCTGAGCACAGTGAGGCTGCCCTCTTCTGGCCTGCCCTGGCATTGTGCTCATGCACACAGCCCACACACAGGCATGAACTTATACATGTAATTTAAAGATAAGAGTATTTTAAAATATCTACCAAGTAAGGAGCTCCAGGTGAAGCGCAGGCGCCATGGCAATCCACACGTATGTCTCCACATGTGCAAACTTCTAGACGTTTCCAAAACCAGTTCATCCAAATGATTCCAACCTGCTCGGCTACCCTCCGCTATGGCTTAGTGTCCTATACCTCATCCCTTAAATACAGATGTTTGGGTTCTGTTGTTTTCACAGTGGCTTCTTCTAGGACTGGGAATAACGAGAAATAGGAGGAACCAAGAGCGATTGTTCTGGGGAGAATAAGTAGAGCCTGTAAAGCAGCTGGACATGGAGACCGGGTAATACCCCCATTGACCTACTTTCCATTCCGGTTGTTTTCATTAGTTATGATTGCCGTGTGTGCACCCGTGATGTGTGGAGAGTACATGCCCACATGTGGAAATCACACTGAAGAGCCGGTTCTCCCGTCCACCTTGACATGGGTTAGAGATATCAAACTCAAATCTGCAGGCTTGGGCAGCAAGCACCTTTACCTATTGAGTCACTTCACTAAAAATTCTAAGCAATTTTTAGTTAGAATAATCTTTGTGACATCAAAGCAAAAACTGTGAAGTTTTTAAAATTGGAAGATGGCCATCTGGTGTTCGCTACAGTGCCTTGAGATAGCCCTAGTCCTGCCTTGGGTGGGGGAAGAAGGATACTGAAAGGAAGAACCGTCCGGTGGAGATGGGTGTCATTGTCGCTGCTGCCCAGGTAGGCAGACAGTTTTTCCCACCAGCCAAATGACAAGATCAGAGTCAACAGACAAATCGAAAGGACCTTTCCTCAGCTGCAGAACTTCAGCTCTGGTTAAAAGTTAAAAATCAAACCCATTCTCTGATGACTGTTAGGGATTCTGGGAATTCCATAGCTGTTCTGGACTCTGAGCACTTTTTCTCCCCACGGGCTTGAATGAAGTAGCCTTACTGAGTATAAGCATCTTCTCAACCCAGACTATCCGGGGAGGGGAAGCCATGTGAGCACAGCCATGGGCCTGAGATGTACAGTCACAAGCGAGATGCCTGGGCTCTTCAAGTCATCCTCAGCTCGGGCAGACTGCCCTTGCATACCAGCTGGGTCTTGTGACTAAGACAACTTGGAAGACACCATCTTAACATGGCGCTCTCTTTAGCTCTCTGATCTGACAGCCCATGGTCCACCCCAAGATTAGAACTGAGGCTACCTTGTTCTCCAGTGAACTGAACACGCCCCTCATCTTGTTGATTATTTTCATGAGGCTGATCTAGGGAAGTTGTGATCCCTCCATCCTGCTGCTGGAGGCAAGCTCCTGCTGGAGGTGGGTTCATGGGAGACATGAACTTCAAAGCCTTGGGTTCCACAGAGAACATCTCAGGCTTAGATATGGGGAAAAAAATCCGAATCCTTCCTACTTCATGCTCTTAACTTCCATTTCTCATTTTCCTTCCTTCCTTTCTTCCTTCCTTCCTTTCTCAGTTCCTTAATTCTTCATAAGATGGTTCTAGTAGATGTCTTCCTTTTTTCCATCAAACATCTCTTGGGCCTCAAACTAAATTTTCAGGAATTCCAACATGTGTTTTACAAAGCCTTCCCATTTCTCCCCAACCAAGGTCGGGAGCTACTGTGAAGCAGACTCAAGGGCTTTGCTGTGTCTTAGGTACTTTGTGAACTCATAAATGTCAAGAATTGGGGAGCTTCTGCCAGTCATGCAAAATTCCTAAAATCCCTGATGAATATGAGCAAGACCTCAAATGTTTTTGGGGTCCGGCATGATGTCAAAGAGGCCAAGGTAATTGTTTTGACTTTGCCTTTAACCAGTTGCCAAAGAAACCTGTTTGTTTTGTTTCATTTTTCTGTCAACCTCCATCTTCCAGTTTTAGGTCTCTTTATTGATCTTCAAAGATGCTGTTCTTAGCCAGCCATTGTGGCTCACATCTTTAATCCCAGTATGCAGAGGCAGGCAGATCTCTGAGTTCAAGGCCAACCTGGTCTATAAAGTGAGTTCCAGGACAACTAGGGCTACACAGAGAAACTCTTGTCTTGAAAAAGAAAAGAAAAAGATGCTGTCTTTAAAATACAAACTAAGCCTGGCGGTGGGTGGTGCACACCTTTAATCCAGGCACTCGGGGGGCAGAGGCAGATGGACCTCTGTGAGTTCGAGGCCAGCCTAGTGTACAAAAGCTAGTTCCAGGACAGGCTCCAAAGCTACAGAGAAACACCTGTCTCTGTAAAAGAATGTAACCCACAATCTTCAATTGGTCTGTTCATTTTCTTGTATCATGTTAATGCAGTTTTTTTTTTTTTTTTTTATCTTACTTCTACCTTTTGGGGTCAGGGGTATTTTAAGCAATTGGAAATTAAACGAGGGTGATTTCAGTGTTCACTGGAACTCTCTCCCGGGACTATTCTGTGTTTTCTGTTTTATTATTTTCACGTCTTCATGCTCTTTACTTACACGTCTGACCCCACACCCCTGCCCTGGCAAGTGGTATCGTCATGGCGGCTGGTGCCCGACAGCTGTGCTTTCTTCCCGAGCACTTCTCCCTTAGCCTTGACCTCAAAATCTGCATTCTGGTCTCTGCCACTGAACGCCAGCTCCGCTTCACCCTGGCTTTTCCTGAAATTCTTTTCCAACGTGTGACCCAGGATCCAGTTTTTTTTTTAAATATTTATTTATTATGTGTACAGCATTCCTTCCGTGTGTGCCCACAAGCCAGAGGGGGGCGCCAGGTCTCATTATAGATGGCTGTGAGCCACCATGTGGTTGCTGGGAATTGAACTCAGGACCTCTGGAGTCAGTGCTCTTAACCACTGAGCCATCTCTCCAGCCCCCCAGGATCCAGTTTTGCCTGAAGAAGTTTCTGAAAAGAACTTTTCAGGTGTCTGAGGGAGATGGTCAAAGCTGTGTGTCTCTGTCCCTCTGCCACTGACATTTCCATTCCAGAGGAAAATGGTCAATTTTTAAAAATGAGAATGAGGGGCTGGAGAGATGGCTCAGAGGCTAAGAGCACTGACTGTTCTTCTAGAGGTCCTGAGTTCAATTCCCAGCAACCACACATGGTGGCTCACAACCATCTGTAATGAGATCTGGTGCCCTCTTCTGGTGTGCAGGGATATATGCAGACAGAATGCTGTATACATAACTAATAAAACTTTTTTTAAAAAAAATGAGAATGAACCTAGCTCTCATTATTTCAACAAGCCCTTAACATCCGTATTTCCGTCTGTGTTATAGTATATTAATGAAGATAATTGTAGGCCAAGATCATATTACAGAGGTTTTCTTCTCTGCTCCTCATCTTTTGCTTCTCCTTGTGTGTTTTGGTTTGTTTTGGTTTTGAGACAGAACCTCAGGTCTGCTGCCTGCACTCCTTCCTAGATTGTCAGTTCTTTTGAGAAAAGGTCTCACGTGATCCAAGCTGACCTTGAACTTGGTCCCCCAGCCTTTGCCTTCCCCAGCTTTCTAAGTGCTTTTCTAAGGCATTTAAAAGTCGGTGCCACTATCTGCCATATCCAGCTTGATTTTTCTCATACTTAGCACTTTTAGAAACACTTTGGAGTCTCTTGATTAGAACAAACAGTGAAGACCTCTCGTTTTCCCAACACTGTCTCCCACCAGACTGAATGACTGCACCAGACCCTTCATCTTAAAGCATTATGAACATCTTCCAGGCCACCACTCACCTGTCCAGCTACTATTGACTGACTATGTATCACATGCCAAGCGCTGTGGTTTATGCTGAGAGTAGTACCGAGAGCAATGCACACAAAGTCCTTGCTTTACACTTCATACTCTGGCTTAGGAGACAGGAATGAAGACTTTGAGACAGGGTCTTACCATGCAACCCTGGCTAGCCTGTAACTCGCTCTGCTTAACAAGCTGGCCTTGAACTTACAGTGATCTGCCTGCCTCTGTCTTGGAGGCTTAAAGGCTTGTGCCACCATATCCTGACCTGGAATTTTTTTTCTTTCTTTTTCTTCTTCATTTTTCTTTTTTTTTTCTTTCTTTTCTTTTCTTTTTTTTTCTTTTTTCTCTTCTTTTCTTGTTTTTTGAGACAGTGTTTCTCTGTGTAGTCCTGGCTGTCCTGGAACACAGTAGATCAGGCTGGCCTCAAACTCAAGAGATCTGCCTGCACCACAACTGTCTGGCTTAAAATCTTTTTTAAAAAAATCAAGTTAATATAATAACATCTGCAAGGGATGGAATCTATGAAAAATGGAGAAAATTATTGAAACTTCACATTTTCCTTCACTTCTATTGTCCCCTCTAAATGCAGCTCATATTATATTATAGTTACCCACCCTCCTTGCCCACCGTCCTCTTTCTTGGCCCCTTCTTCTTTTGGTTAAAAGTTGCTTGGAATTAACAGACTTGGGAGGTGTTCTTTTAAAACAAAGATGAGGTCACCAAGGCCCATCAGAGACCGTGCAGAAAAACCGCTCTTTCCAGGCTCCAAGCACTCCAGTGTGAACAGATGCACTTGGACTTGTGGCAGACACTGAGATAATGAGGCCATTCCCTCTGCAGCTAAATGTAGCCCACATCAAGGGAGTGACCCACATATCTAGAATAGATTTCAGATCATACCTAACTCTAAAGAGGCATGTGTACTCGTGCAAAGGCCATAGGCAGGCCAGAGGAGAGCACAGATGAGGATGGAAAGTATCTACAGGCCCTGGACCACTGAGCATTACCTCGGCGTCCTGGAGACCTACCCCCCCCCCCCAACGCCCAGACTTCATTCACGCTGGCCACCCTGTCAGAAGTAGTCTTTCTTAATAGTCCATCATCCAGCGATTAGTTTGTCCTTGCGTACTTTGTACAAGTCTTTTAGTTAACAACCCTGCTGAGCCTTTTCAAAAGCCTGCCTCATAGGAGCCAACCGGCAAAGTATTTTCAAGGTCATGAACATTTAAAACAAACAAACAAGGAAGTCTATTTCATCTGTTTAGTTTCCCATCAGGCTAATCAGCAGATTTTGCACATAACTATTCACTAAATAAGAAATCGAAAGGAGGCTGTTTCTTCCACGCCCTCCCATTGCTGACCCAAGAGGAAGACAGCTAACAACGCTTTACTCTCCGGCTGTTGCTCGCTCTAGTCCACTCTAGAGCAACGAACTCTTGCAGGAGCTAGCTATTGCACTGACCTCACCAGCATTTAAACTCCCTGATCTAAGTAATACTTCCCCTGCACTATCTGCTCCGCTGGACTCCTGTCTTCCTGCTTAAAAGGGCCTAAAAATCCAACTTAAGGAACTGATGGGATGGCTCAGTAGGTAGAGGCATTTGCCTCTGAAACCCAACTTGAGATCTATCCCAGAGACCCACATGGTAGAAGGAGAACTGATTGCCACACATATGCTACACACATAGACATACACTAGCCACACATATGCTACACACACATAGACATACACTAATAAGTAAATAAACAAATGTTAAAAAAAGAGCCTATTCCCCCCCCCCCCAAGGCTTGCTAAACTCTGTCAGTTCTTCCTCGTGTATTCCAGATTACAGTGTTAAGTCTAGAGAGAAGCACAAAGCTCAAACTGCCTTTACAAGACAAACTACGGCAGGGTAAATATCCATGATTGCTAAGGACAGAACTTTAATTCAATTTCTGGTTGGAAGACAGAAGCCAAATAAATTCTATTTGCAGAATTGGGGCAACCTGATAGAATGCTTGTCGTGATTGTCTTTGTAAAGAATCTAATTATTGCCATAGCTAAAAATGAACTTAATTTTTCCCCTGTCATCATACTTGAACAAATGTCATGCTCCTAACTCTTAATTCTCGGTTCTCCCAAACATCACACAAGGTCTCATCATGTAATCTAGGCTAGCTTTGAGTTAAACTCATGTCTTAGAGTTCCCAGTGTTAGAGCTTATGGTGTGTGCCACCACACCTGGCTAAAAAAAAAAAAAAAGGTCGCTCTTCCTGTGTTCTCTCTGATGACAATGCCATTGCCTGGTATGATGACCACAGTGACAGTGGCATAGGCGAGAAGCAGAGCTGAGGTGGGGTATGGGTGCTGTGGTTGTTGTTGGCGTCAGATTGATTGATTGATTGATTGATTGACTGCCTGATTACGTATACAGTGTTCTGCCTGCCTGTATGCCCGGCCAGAAGAGGGCACCAGATCTCATCATGAATGGTTGTGAGCCACCATGTGGTTGCTGGGAATTGAACTCAAAAGCTCTGGAAGAGCAGCCAGTGCTCTTAACCACTGAGCCATCTCTCCAGCCCCCAGCTGCTGTTTTACAAACCGAATAACTTTTCCTCCGTCAACCAGTTCTCTCAAAGGTACAATGTGAGTGGCCTCTGCCCTACCTGTCCCTTGGCCTTGTTAAGAGAACAAGTGTCAAGAGACATGTGGACACACCTAAGTGTTAAGACTCGCTGTGCGTGAAGGGCAGTCACCACTATTGGAATGACAACATTCACGGGAAGGCGTGTGTCGTTACCTGGTAAATCTGGGTGGAAGGGTTATTCACCGGCATGTGTTCATTCTCTCCTGCAGGAAGAAAGAGCTTTGTTCAACGACACAACTCGCGCTGTGCCTTCCTACTGTCTCTGGACACAGGGAGGGAACACACACATTCGAGGATCCTCTAACTGTGCCTGGATGACCAGAACCAGAAGATTCTGGATCACAAAAATAAACTAGTGATGCCAGTGATATTCATATTTATACCCTGATGCCCAAACTATACCTACCTGACAAAATTATCATAGTAGAAAAAAAAACCCTTTCTTGACACAAAAGGGAAGACAAGAGATTGGCAGTCATTAACTGGATAGAAGGAGATGCCATGGGGGAGTCTCCCTGATATCTTTAGGGCTGACTGAAGTTTATCTGAGCTGACATCTGCTTTTTGCCAGGATTACACTTGATAGTAATTGTCAACTCTTCACCGAGGAGGCAAACACTTGTGAGGGACTGTCTAGATTAGGGCTGGCCTCCGAAAATGTCCTTGAGAAATTGTCTTGGTTAACTTAATTCCCGTGTAAAGACTCGTGTTAATTTGGGGCAGGACCATTCCCTGAGCAGAGTGGAAATCCTGGACTGTACACAGAGGAGAGCGCACAAGGCTGGAGAAATGGCTCGGACATTAAAAGCCCTTGCAGACCTTACAGAGAACACAGGTTTGGTTCCCAGTACCCACATGATAGCTCACAGCCACGTGTCCTGGGGGATATGACATTCTCTCCTGACTTCTGCAGGCACCAAGTATACCTGTGGTGTGCATACATACATGCAGGCAAAGCATCATACACATTTAAAAGAACTTTTTCTTAAGAAAGCGGAGAGGACAGGTTTTGAGGGCAAGCATTGTGCTGTTCTCTGCTCTTATGTGTGGCTGTGATGTGGCTGGTTCTCTCAGGCACCCCCTGTTGTGACTTCCCTGCCACGATCAATTGGAAAATGGAATTATGGGCACTTGCTCAACCATTTTGCTGCTACATGTAGGGTCACATCGCACAAAGGTCACATTGCAGGAAGCAAACAACTCTCCCGAAACTCCTGCCTGCAAGCCTTTGGCATATGCATGTGTGTATTGTTTTCCTTAGACACACTGGTAAGAAAGCCCTCCTTAGAGGAGCCAGCCTCCGTATGGTAAAGTCCTAACTAAGGTATCACTCAGCCTAGAGTTTGCACTTGGTAGAGGATGTCCCTATAAAATTCCAATGGTTTGGGGTTACCAAACCTCCTTATACAAACTTGAATAGGGACAGTTTAGCCCATTTCATACTATGTCCAAACAATGGGCAACAGCCAAGACTGAGACATGTGGACCAGGACCTCGTTTCATAGCTGTCACTTGACTGCTCTGTGTGGGAACAATAATGGAGTGACTTCTGGATGTTGCTTTTGCTCATAAAGAGGAAAGGGGAATTCATTTGTTCTCCTAGGAGAGCCTAGCAGGTGCTGGGTGTCTATTAGAGACATGCACCTTATTTAGTCAACACGTCTGACTAAAGTCAACACTGAGGGGGAAAGAGAAGGACTCAAGCCACACCACACGTGACATCCTTGGCATTTTCTGCCTTCCAGCAAGTCTGTGTTTTTCAAGGTCTCCAAGGTGAGGATGGGAAAATGATATTTGGAAACGGTGGCCAGACAGGTCAACTCCTGCATTTCCTGACTCCCGAGCTCCAAAGCAAGATGGAGATCTGACCTTGCTTTGTTTTGGTTTTTTCCATGGTGTCCGCTGCTTCTCTCCTCCAGCGCACTCTTCAGCACTGCACCGTCATCGTCCTGGATCAGGCCACCGCCCCTTCCCTGCACCTGCCAATCAAAGATAAAGGAATCCGGTAGTACTGATGAAGATACTAGATTAGCTTCATGGGTGAGCTTTTAATACCATACACACCTTAAAACTAAGCAATTTCAGGAGAACAAATTACTAAATCGAGTATATCTCTAACTTAAAGTTAGGGGCTGGAGAGATGACTCAGCAGTTAAGAGCACTGGCTGCTCTTCCAGAGGACCCAGGTTCAATTCCCAGCACCCACATGGCAGCTCGTAACTGTCTGTAACTCCAGTTTCAGGGAATCAGACATCCTCACACAGATATACATGCAGGCAAAACACCAATGCACATAAAATAAAAGTAAATTTTTTTTTTTTTGGTTTTTCAAGACAGGGTTTCTCTATGGTTTTGGAGCCTGTCCTGGAACCAGCTCTTGTAGACCAGGCTGGTCTCGAACTCACAGAGATCCTCCTGAAGTAAATTTTTTTTTAAAAAAGAAAAACTTAACTGGGTGTGGTGTGGTGGTACATGCCTTTAATCTCAGTACTCTGTGTAACCCTGACTGTCCTGGAACTTGCTATGTAGACCAGGTTGACTTTGAACTTAGAGATCTGTCTGCCTCTGCCTCCCGGGTGCTGGGATTAAAGGTGTGTGCCACTACCACCTGACAATACAGTAGTTTTTAATCTGCTACATTTTCCTTCAGATCCAACTAATTAAGACCTACTGACTTTATTAGCAAGTTGCTTCTTAGGAAAATGACATTAAGAAGGAGAAGCTAAGCAAGAAAGCCTGTTATGACTTGCTTCTCCTGGTCTTTCTTTTACCATATAAAGTGAAGTCCAAAAACATTTTATTCATGACATAAAAAGAAGAAGAAGAGGAAGAGGAAGGAGGAGGAGGAGGAGGAGGAGGAGGAGGAGGAGGAGGAGGAGGAGGAGGAGAAGATGCTGGGCAGTAGTGATGCACACCTTTAATCCCATCACTCAGAAGGCAGAGACAGATGGACCTCTATGACCTCAAGGCCAGGTCTACCAACTGAGTTCCAGGACAGTCTTGAAAGCTACAGAGAAACCCTCTCTTGAAAAAAAAAAAAAAAAAAAAGAAGAAGAAGTTTTCATTGGATTATATCAGATTTTTGAGTTAATTGGGAAGATTGGAATGTTTTTTTACTAACTCTTATCCAAGTTGGATGTGGTGACACATTGTTTAATCCCAGTGCTCAGGAGGCAGAGACAAGCAGATCTCTATGAGTTCAGGGCCAGCCTGGTCTATACAGCAAGTTTCAGGCCAGCTGAGGCTACATAGTGAGACTCTGTCACAAACAAACAAAATTTTATCCAAAAGCATTGCAGTTCCCTCCGTTTGCACAAATTATGTTTCAAGGTTTTCAATAATGTTTCAGAACTTTCTTGTTTAAAATTCTATAGTTTTTTTTTAAGGTTTTTGGTTTCTTGAGATGGAGCTTCACAATGAAGCCCAGCATGGCCTGGAACTGAGTATGCAGAATATTCTGTCCTCAGACTCATGGTAATCCTCCTGCCTCAGCCTTTCAGGTGCTGGGACTACAGGTGTCAGCCACCATGCCTGGCCAAGATCCTGTCAGTTTTTGAACGTTTATTTATTTTAATTTTATGGAGATGTGTGTTTTTCTTACATGTATGATGCTCAGAGAGGTCAGAAGAGGGCTTCAGATCCCCTAGAAATGGAGGTACAGTTGGTTCTGAGCTGCCATATGAGGACCAGGAACTGAACACAGGTCCTCTGGAGGAACAAGTGCTCTGAAGTTTACTGAGCCATCTCTCCACTCCCAAAGATCCTGTACTTTTAAACGAAATTTATTAAGTACTTTCTACACTTGCATTCCTATCAATTTTTTGAATGGCATTTTCCCATTTTTATATATAGCTGGTTGTAAGATCTCTATTTTTGTTATGTATTAATTTTTGTATTCACCTATCATATAAATTCCTTCGTTAATGATGGAAATGTAAAATATGTTCTTATTGTCTGGCAGTTGTGGTACGTGCCTTTAATTCCAGCACTTGGGAGGCAGAAGCAGGCAAATCTCTGAGTTCAAGGTCAGCCTGGTCTACAGAGTGAGTTCCCAGACAGCCACGACTACACAGAGAAATCCAAAAAAAATAAAAAATAAAAATAAAAACATAGAGGAGGAGGAAGAATCAAGAGAAGGAGAACTGTAGCATCGGTGTCTTCTCCTTTATTCTTACAGTAGTTCCCTGGTCCTCACTGTCATCACGAACAGAAAATAAATGTATCCCTATCTCTAACTTAAGATTCCCCTGCCTCAACCTGACTTTCTGGAGTTACAGGCATGCACCATCAAATCCAACTCAATAGGGGGGCAGTTTCTACATTGAAGCGTATACTCTTATCAGTGAAGAACACAGATTGAAAAGCACATTTTGAAGGGAGAATAATAGCAAGATTACATGGGAAAATAGCATGACTTTTCTAGAAAATGTCTGGTGGTGATTATGTAACTCCCTTGGCCTCGAACTCACAGAGATCCACCTGCCTCTGCCTCCCAAGTGCTGGAGTTAAAGGTGTGTGCTGCCACCACCCAGCATGAGAATGGGTAGTAAGCTGCCCATTCTGTACTGAGAATCCCTTACTCTCTGAACCCAGGAATTAATTAATTGATTAGTTAATTAATGTGATGTTAAGGATTGAAGTCAATGTAGGTTCAGGCTGAGGCAAGTGCTCTAGCTCTGAGCTATGTCCCCAGTCTCCTGGAATTCTTTACTTTGTCTTTGATAGCCTTTGAACCACTGTCTGAAATAAACAAATGCCTCTCGCCAGCCTACATGGCTCGAACACCCCCTTTAACTTCTTTTCATTGCATCTCCACAATTTTAGTGCTAGCCTTTAAAACACACATCTAGGTCTTCCCAGACCTCAGGCTTTAGAAAGGAAGCATCTGTTGGTCCCTTGACCATGCTGGTCTCTATATAAAGCAATGATTTCCACCTTGCAATCTTTTAAATCTCCAGGCTTGGTCTCTGTCCGAGTCTCTCTGTCCCTAACTGTTCCTATCTGTGTCTCTCTCTGTATGTCTGTGTCTCTGTGTGTCTGTGTATTACATACATGTCTGTGTATGGATGCATGTGTCTATGTATGAGCGTGTGAATGTCAAAACAGAATCAGAAGGAAATCATTAGATGTCATCGTCGTTCTCCTCCTCTGTCACTGTCCTTGAACCTGGAGCTCCCATTTTCACACTAGGCTGGC